ATTGTTTCCGAATAATTAAGTAAATATTACAAAAAATTATTATACGTATAAAATCAGTAGCAAAACTATTTATCAGTTAACAATGGATATAAAATAAATAAAATTGATATAAAAATATTTTGTTCTAATATCATGGTTTATAAGAGCTATATAAATAACGTTACAATAATAAAGAAGTCCGTATTTCATTTTTACCAATGCTTCTATTATCATTATCATTTACGTTTACCTTTCATAAATAAATAATGCAAGTGAAATTACAAAAACACATTAGAATCATATTAAATTCAAAGAAAAAATAATCAAACAGTATCATAACAATGAGATGAAAAATCAAAGTGGAAACGGCGAAATGAAAAAAATAATACAAGGATATTTTCAGCTGAGCTTAATAACAATGATAATAAAAAATAATCGCAAAAATTTCGTGTTTATTTTTCATTAGGACGTATAAGAGAATTATCATTAACTTTTGCAGAAGACATAACGAGATATAAAGGATCATATTGTAAATGAAAATATGAATAATAAATTTGCAAAAAAATTATAAATTGTTTTATGTATCAATTTCTAATTTTATTTATTTGAGATATAAAATGCTTTATTAATTTTTACAATCACCCAAAAAGAACAACATATAAAAAATCAAAAGCACAAAATCAACCAAATATTGAAGTCCTTAGAGATTAAGGTCGATGCTGAAATTTTTTCTAAAATATATAAAAATAACAAAAAAATCTGGAGCAAATTTAGTATTTAAGAAAATTCCCTTATAGGAAATCATTTTTCTAAAGATTTTGAATTTCTGAGCATTACAAAGAAAAAGAAAAATAACATTCAAAGAAATTGATGGAGGTCGTATATAGTTGAAATCGAGTAGTAGTTACTTTAAGTAGAAATTTTTGTATTGGATGACTATGAAAAATCAAAACAGAAGTAATATTTAAGCAAATTCACTTCTAGAAAATCATTTACCAAAGATCTTGAACTTCTGAGCATAGCAGAGCAAAATAAAAAAAAATGTAAAGAAATTGACGTAGCTTTTAGTAGATTGGATGCATGCAATTTCGTTTTGCATAAACGTTTAGCGTTTGCACATTTAGCTAAATTGTAAAGGATTTACAATTTAATTAATTTAATAAGAATTTTAATTTTGCAGACCAATAAGTGTCGATTACAGTTCAATATTTGACGCCAGATGATGACATAAAATCGCCCACGATGACGCCTCATAGACGACAGTAAAAGCCCAATAAAATCGATTGGTGATATTTATTCAGGGAAATTCTTTTTGTTCTATGTAATAAATAATTTAAATAGATAATTTGCATTTGGTAGAAATATAAATAAAAATCTTTAGAAAATCGTTATTGATAAAGTATTCAACTCCCAAAATAATCGAGCCTTTCAATAAAAAAAAATGGGTAAAATATGAATAAATTTTTCAGAATAACCAAAAACAAAAGTCAGACAAAAGTACCCGAAAAAATCTAGAATAAATGAACCAGAAAGTTATACCAGGAAAAAAACTACGCCAGAACAGTACCAGGACAAGATTAAAAAATGTGTTCATTTTGTTTGAAACCCATTTTTTATTCTTAAAATTTTACTTGTAACCCTATTAGGATAGGTGTAAAAATGGAAAAACGCAGATGTAAATATTTCTTGTACAAATTTCTGTAATTGCGCAATTTTTATTGCAAATTCTTTGTTCATATAACAATAATCTAGTATTAATTATATGCAATAGATTTAAATATCATCAAATATAAAAATAAAAGAAATGTAGAAACTGAAATACGCCCTATTAGAAATTGTGAAAGTTAGCTTTAAAGATATCTCCATCTGTTCGCAGAATTTTCAGACAGCTGATTTCAGAACCTTTACTGCAATATTTTACAAAATACAGTAGAACCCCGTCAAGACGATTATGCTTAATACAATTTTTTGGATAATACACCCCTTTTTCCGTCTCTGTACTTTCAAACATAATGTTTATTTGCTGCATAATAAGGTTGATGAAGAATCGTCTTAAAGGGGTTTTGTATTATATAAATAACTAAATAAATAAATAAATAAATATCCCGTCTCTGTACTTTCAAACATAATGTTTATTTGCTGCATAATAAGGTTGATGAAGAATCGTCTTAAAGGGGTTTTGTATTATATAAATAACTAAATAAATAAATAAATAAATATCCAAAATATTAATAACAAGCATTATTGCTTTAGTATTATATGTAAAATGCTCTTCAACCAAATTTATTTCAATTATTATATTCAACAGAAAACATCTGACATAAAAATGACATTAAATTATTTAAATTTCTAATTTATAAAAAATATTTTTTATAAATTTTATTCATTTAAAATACTACTTAAAAGGGTTGTTAGAAGTCACGTTTGCGCCTCAATAAAAGCACTTTTATTTATTTGGTAACCAACGCAACATGAAGTTGTTAGATCGGTGATAAAATGGATTAAAACAAAATTTCATATTGAATTTTCTCTTTATATTTTTTTCTAAATATTTTTCAAAATGGTAAGACTAGGAATAAAAAATTTAGGAAATTAATTTATAAATATAACACGACGTTTTTGTTTTCAGCCGCCTAAGAAAAAAGGGAAAGGAAAAGGAGCAGGTATGTCAAAAATAAAAAATGTGAAAAGGGGAATTTTTATGAGTAAATTAGTTATAAAAATATTAGATTGAAAAATTGGCCAAAAATTTAAATATTGTAAGTGGCTAAATGCAATAGGAGAAGCCAATAAAAATAAAAAAAAATAGATCAGAGTATAGCAACATACTGGTCAACAAGTTGTTAACAATTTGGAACAGTGTTTAGCCTTCATGTATCCTGGTTGAAATAGTTTATTTTATCCTAAATTAAAGAAATTCGTTTATTTATATTCAGCTGCATGAATTTAGATAAATATGAATTCATCAGATAATTATGAATTATTTTGAGAAGTTTTTTTCTATAAATTACCATATTTCTTTTCCAGGAGGAGTAATAGATGGAGTCGACACATCAGAGATGTCCAGGGAGCAATTGGAGGCGTTTGCTCACCGCCTTCGGGATGAAATGGAACGCGAACGAGAAGAACGAAATTACTTCCAATTGGAAAGGGATAAAGTGAGAACCTATTGGGACATCACCAGGCAACAATTGGACGAAGCCAGGGCCCTACTCAGGTAATAAAAATAATATATCAGAATCAGATAATATTTGTTATTGGCGTTCTGGTCCAACATCAATAATTACCATTATCCTTTACCCAGGACCAAAGAGCGAGATATCGAAGAAACAGAGGAGAAAAACCAGTTTGAGATGAAATGTTTCAAACAAAAAGTGAAGCATCTTTTGTACGAACATCAAGCCCATCTCAGTGATGTCCGTGCTGAGGGCGTTATGGCCCTAAAAGCTGCCCAGGATGACCATGATGTCCAAGAAGGAGAACTGCTCAAGGATAAAACCGAGTTGAAGGCTAGCAAGAGAGCTTTGGAGCAGGAAATCTTGGAGCAAATCAGAGCTATTAAAATAGTAATAGAAATATATACTGTTGATGGTAAATGTAATTTGTATAAATACCTTGTACTATTTTTTAGGATCACAGCAAGGAATTAAGTCAGGTGCGTGCTGAATACGAGAAGGAAGCCAGAGAAATTGAAGATAAATATGACAAGGAAATGACCAGTGAACGAGAAGAAGTAAAGTTGTTTTTTATATAATTTTTTGGTCTTCTGTATATAAAATTTGTTATTGCGATTTTTAGTTGAACGTCAAACACCGTATGGAAATCGCAGAAGTCGAAGAACGAAAAAACCAACAAATTGTAGATTTAATCAAAAGCCACGAATTAGCTTTTAGAGACCTAAAAATATACTACAACGATATCACTATCAACAATTTGGCACTAATCACCAGCTTAAAGGTAAAATCTGATGTACAACTATTTTTATAAAGGGATCGTTCAAGTATTACGTAAGCACTATAGGGGGGCGGGGGTTGTTGATTTGCTTATTTTGGGTTAACATGGAGGGCAGGGGAGTCTGGATGATGATTTCGTCATAGGTAGTATTTTTATTTTTTTACTTGAACAATCCCAAATTTTTGATAAATTTTAATGTATTTTTTTGTGCAGGAACAAATGGAAGATTTAAAAAATTATTCAGAACGTATGGAGCGCCAAGTTAGCGATATTCAGGCTGAAAATAGGAAACTGGTGCAACCACTTAAGGAAGCCACTGAAAAAGTTAATGAGATGACCAAGAAAATACAGAGTTATGAAAAAGATAGAAATGAATTAGCGGTAAAGTATATTATTACCAAATGCATCAACAAATTTTATTATATTTCAATTATTTCTCCCAGTATCTTCGGAAAAAGTATGCAGGTTGCATGAAAGACCTGAACAACCTAAAATGGGCCCACGGTGCTCTAGAATTGCGATTCGAAAAAGTTAAAGCAGATCGGGATTATTTGAACCAGAGATTTATACAGGCAGTTATGGATGTTCAGCAGAAAACAGGATTGAAAACTTGTATTCTAAAACGACAAGTTGATGAGATGACTCTGAATGCAGAACACAGGGATGCTGTGCTGGATGAGATTTTGACTGCGACCAATTTGAATGCGAAAGGCGTTAGCAGAAAACTTGAGGTAAAAAACTTACATGCATTACATTACTTTAGAGTAATGTAATTTTATTACTTTACCTCTGAGAAAAGTTTAAGATAATAGAAGTCAAAAATAATAATCATAACCGTGGAAATCCAGTTTCATTTCTTGGACCCCAAAATTTTTGTTTCGCCCAAATTTTTTGTTTCGAAGCAATTTCATTTGATTTTTAACTTTTTTAAGAAATTTTTGTTTCACTGACGTGGACTCTCTGAAAGTTGTAATGGACCCCTGGAGGTCCATGTAAATGACTTTGGGAATCACTGATATATATAGGCAATTTCATTTGATTTTTAACTTTTGTAAGGAGTTAATGATTTCCTTAGAAAATACGATTGCTATAGTTTTATGTTTTCTCTGAATTTGAAGTCATTCTGAATCGTTTGAGACCAAAATTAAAAAATGTATGTGTGAACCAATAGTTCTGGGGATCCACGTCAACAAAAAAAAAATTGGGGTCTACGAAATAAAAATAGAGGGCCACAAAACAGAGGTCTATTTACTATATCTATAATAAAGTCATATACAACATTTATAAATCAAACTAAAAAAGTAAATAAAAACATTGGCCATTTTTTTACACAAATGTGTAAGTCTTAGCATGAGAAAGCATTCGATTTATGGCCAAAATACGAAATAAAAATATATTACAAATATTTGTAATAATTTGATAGTTTAATATAATAAATGTAAAGACCCTATTTGCTGATTATTAAGAAGCCTGACAAAATTCTTTACGCTTTTTGAGACTATTACACAAAAAAGTTTGAGAACCTTTGTGTAAACAAATGAAATGTAAATGTAAACGAGCATAATAAAATATTATAGGCCTTCGAAAAGTAGCTTAATTAAAAAAAACTCATCAGAGTTAATGAGCACTATGTCAAAATTCTAAAAATTTCATTATATCAAATCTGAATTTTTGACTGATGAAGGATTTGGCAATTTACAACTAGTTTCTAAAAAGTTGTTAATGTAAATTTTCTAAATTCACATTAATATTTAAAAAAAAAACTCATCGACAACAACCTAGCCTTAATTGACAATATCAGTACATGGAAACTTACAAGAATCTAATTAGACTCCACGAATTCCTTGAAAAATCATATTAGATTTTTTAGGATCTTAGAAAACTGACAATGGTATTCCCAATTATCTACACAAAATACATTTTTTACATTTTCATCAAAATAAAATTGATATTAATATAATACGAATTTTATATTAATATTTTATGAGTAATATGCTAATATATTTTACGCAACTTCTGATAAAGTCAAAAATATCTTTCAAAAGCATCTTGTTTCTTTAATGAGATTTAATAAGACTTTGTTGTAATTGTACCACGAAGAATTTTCAATAAACTGCTTCAATTTTGACGAAAAAAAAAGTGAAATAAATAATATTCACTTGAATATTGCAAATTTGACAGTCATGAAGGAAGTAAATAATAACACCAACTGACCGAAATTGTAGCTGATACAATTACAAATTCATCTTTATTTTTTATAAACATTTGAAAAACAAACAAGCTTGATATGAAAACATATTGTTAAACCATCAATCATTATAACTACGTAAATATATAATATTACAACATAAATCAAATAAAACACTTACCTCAACCGCCATTTGCATTTTTGCACAACTGACACCGGCAACCGCTTCGCCCACAATATCGTCTTTTAACGCCTTTACAGACAATGACAAGCACTCAAAAACAACACAAATCATAAATAATTCATTTATGAATATAACCACCATTTTTGTAGGTTTTATTGAATAAAAAGAACACAGAAATTCAAGATTTACAATACGAACTGGCACGTGTCTGCAAGGCGCACGACGACTTACTGAAGACATACGAGTGCAAACTGCAACAGTATGGCATTCCAGTGGTTGAACTAGGATTTTTACCCCTGAGGACCAATTATACTAATTTGGGGAAAGGCCCTGCAGGTCTGGTAACACTAAATCAGTAGTACATGGATGTTTAATGTTTTTTGTTTGAATTTAAATTTTAATTTTATTGTTATGTTTTAATGTATATGTGGATATTAAATTAAAAATTAATAATTATAAATTTAAAGGTCTTTCAGTTATTATTATAATTGCATGGATGTTAATTTTTCACATTTGAATGTATATGAGTATTGCTATTTATTTATTAGTTTAAGTTTATTATTTATTTATCTACTTAATCACATATTTATTCAATTAATTACTTATTTACTTGTTTATTATTGCATTTATTTATTTATTTACCAATTCATTTATTTAATAGTCATTTATTCTTGTATTCTTATTACAATTTATTGATTTTACTTGGTTATCGAATTAAACATTAACAAATTATAAAAAATATAAATGTAAATTTCAAGATCTTTCAATTATATTAATATAACTATTATATATTATTATTATTATAATTATCATTTATATATTGATGATTAGAATAAAACTTAAAATTATATTCATTTATGAATGCATTCATTAATTCATTCATTAATTCATTTAATGGTCATTTATTCTTGTATTCTTATTACAATTTATTGATTTTACTTGGTTATCGAATTAAACATTAACAAAATATAAAAAATAAAATTGTAAATTTCAAGATCTTACAATTATAATAATATAACTATTAATATATTATTATTATTATAATTATCATTTATATATTAATGATTAGAATAGAACTTAAAATTATATTCATTTATGAATTCATTCATATAAAATTTATATTAACGAATCCATGTTGCATTGTAAATCTTCAAATTTTTGGAGCTTAGAGGTAGTAAATCGCTCACAAACTATGGCCAAATCTTACTTACAAATTCCTGTCCCATTGTCTTGGATTTGTAAGTATTTTAAGCCTCCGGATTTAACTGAAATTTCAATACTACTGGATTTTACATCGAGGCTATTTTCAAGTAATTCTTTTAAGACTTTTGCAGGCCTTTGGATGATTTCTCCTGCAGCAATTCTGTTAATTACTGCTTCGACAAGCGTTCGAATTTCTAAAGGCAAACTCATAATTGATTTAAATATAGAATTATATATTAAAATACGTCCATTACTTAAACTTTTCAAGATCTTTCAATTAAATAATACAACTATTATATATTAATATCATATAATTATTATTTATATATAATAATAATAAAACTTAAAATTATATTCATTTATGAATTCATTCATGTAAAATTTATACTAACTATGTTGTATTAAATTAAATTTATAAATTAAAATTGAAAACTTAAAAGACCCTCAGTCTTATTATTAATATAATTACAAAGACGCTGAAGAAATTTATGTATAAAATTAAAATTTCAAGCTTGAACTAATATAAAGTTAAAACTAATATAATTAGCTAATCAATAATTTATATACAATTTAAATTTGTATTCATGTGAATGCATTCATGTGATATTCATAATAACGAATCTGGTAATTAATTTTGCAATTTTGTAATTTCAATTTGGACACATTTATTTTTAAACTTAAGATTTGCTTTCATGCATACAATCATTCCCATTCAATTAACAAATCAATCGTTTATCTATTGGTACATATCACAGGGTAAATCAATATCATTATTCTTAATCATAATGTTAAAATTAAAATATACTATCCTCAACACCTCTCAAAGACTTTATACAAGTCAGGTAAATTTGCAATTTGCAATATTGCCCCATTTTCTGCAAATTTCTTTGGAGGCAAATAAAATTTTCTTATTGCTGGAAATATAACATGCTCAATAACCCAGTTTCTTGTTTCTTCAGAAAAATACTGTAAAGATGAAGCATAATATCGTGCTGTCTCTTCACAAAATGTAACAAAACATTCTTTCTCAGTATCCCAGTCAACTTCAGTTGCTAAACGTAAAATGTACATAGGTAATTGTCCTATTTCTGGAATAAAATTTTCTAAAATCATAGGTAATGTTTTTATATGACCGTTTTCTATAGTTAAAGAAAAATATTCTGATAACATGGGGGATTTTTCTGTAAGTAAGTATTCTACTTTAGATGCTAAATCTTGTTTGTCACCATCTTCTTCAGTCCACCCACATTCTGGTGAATCCAAGGCAAGTAAAGCAAGTTCTTTAATTGATACAGAATTTGTTAACGAGAGCATTCCTAAGTTACCAAAATCATAAAGTATCATTTCATATATTAGAGATTCACTGAAATTTAAAAATACATAGTCAATATATTAAATATACTTTAAATAAATTTGTTATTATAGAATACTTACCATAACTTCTGTGTGTTACAAATATATAGCTTAGTTTGGTGTTGTATTAAAGACTGCTGCCAATTTACATTTGCTACAAATATCAAGGTACTCAATATCTCCCTTAAATTAGTATGACAATCATTTTCAATTCCTTTTCTCAAATTTAAAACGCTTGTTAGCTTTGTTTCAGTTCTTTCACCACCAGTTTGTTTATTCCTGAATGCTTTCAAAATTTCACTTATATTTACATTAGGACCATCATGTTGTGGATCTGTTTTCTCTGATTCATCATTAACAGAATCATTGTTAGTTATTATTGTACTGTTTCCAAAATATTTATGTATCGTCTGATCAGCAAAATCTTTTCGAACCATATCTTTGTCATATTCTTTAATGGGTTTTGATTTTGAGACATCTAATTTAGGTGGAGATATATTACCTGGTAGTCTAGCCTGAAATAGATGTGTAAGGAATTAAAACATTTTATTAATAAGGTTATTTATAAAAACACAGACCTGAGTGTAGAATATCCGTGAACTATTACAATCCAGCAGTTTTGTTTCTACAACAGTCTTAATTTTTTCTACTATTTCTTCTTCATTCATAAAATGTACTTCATGTTTCGTTGGATGCACATTTACATCCACAAATTCAGGATTTATCTCTAAGCTTAAGTATACAAAAGAATGCATATTTTTTGGCAGATACACACTGTAAATTTGTGTTAAGCATTTTCTAAGTAAAGATGAATCAACTAATCGATGATTAATAAACAAAATAAATATCCCTTTCTTTGCTGAATAATTAACATTTGTTACATAGCCTTGAGCTTTGAATCCTAAAGTTTTATCTTCTGTCTCCATAAATAATAAATGTGATGCAATTTGTTGACCGAACAAACAGCGTATATTATCGACACAATTTGAATTAACTGGAGTTTTAATGTCATTTGATTCACCTACTTTTTTTAAAGCAAAACCAATTTTAGAATTGTGTATTGCATATCGAGTTACAACATCACAGATTTTTTGGTATTCTTCAGCAGGACTTTTGAGAGTTTGCAGTCTGTTAGTAATATTATGGAATAAGTCTTCTACTGTAATTTGGGTACCTTGATTTCCAGCACATGGTTTGGGGGAAGATTTCAATTTGCCGTCTTCATAAGATGCTTTGAAAGCACATACGGAATCTGCTGTTTTTGTTTGTATAGAAAGTCTTGCTATGTGGCTTATACTAGCTAAGGCCTCACCTCTGAATCCATATGTGGCTATACTTTGTAAGTCTTCAAATTTTTGGAGCTTGGAGGTAGTAAATCGCTCACAAACGATGGCCAAATCTTCTTTGCGAATTCCGGTCCCATTGTCTTGGATTTGTAAGTATTTTAAGCCTCCGGATTTAACTGAAATTTGAATACTACTGGATTTTGCATCGAGGCTATTTTCAAGTAATTCTTTTAAGGCATTTGCAGGCCTTTGGATGATTTCTCCTGCAGCAATTCTGTTAATTACTGCTTCGTCAAGTCTTCGGATTTCTAAAGGCAAACTCATAATTGATTTAAATTTAGAATTATATATTAAAATACAATAATAAAACGTCCAATACTTAAAAATTAATTGTAACTGTTAGCTGTCAAAAGAAATGTCAAACTGTCAAAATGTCAAATGTCAGGTGTTAAGAAGTACCTGTCATGTGCAAAAGACGATGAAAACAAATAAAAATAAATATGATAAATAAATTATAACTATATTAATATAATTTTTAATTAATAAATATGTGTTTTTCATCTCGTTTTCGTTTATTCCATTGGGGACCACTCACAGCCTTGGGTATTTTTTTTTATTATTTTTTTAAGGTTATGCAAACTTAAATTAATCTTTTTCTTATTTAAGGTATTATAAAATGTGTTACGGGTATGACAATTCATTGTTCAAATATGTGGTGGCCACCAAGTTCATCCATAGGAGGTTTACTTAATTCTATTTGCTTTTTATCTTTATCCGGACTTACATTGTACAATTTTTTATCAGCCTCATTTAATGGTCCAGGCTTCTTGCCTTTACAATGGACTCCAGTAAGTTTCATGTAATACCACAAACCTGATTTAATTATATATCATTTCATTCTTGATCACAGAAAAATGAGCAAGACACTGAATTCTTACAATGGTGTTCAATATGTAATGGCCACAAAGCACCTAGATCACATCATTGTCGCAAATGTAAGAACTGTTATAAGCCTTCTTAAAACATACATCTTCAAATTAATTCCCTATTAAACTATTCTTTCCTACTATCTCGTTTACAGGTGGGCGCTGTGTAATGAAAATGGATCACCATTGTCCATGGATAAATAATTGTGTGGGCTGGAAAAATCAATGCCATTTCACATCATTTTTGTTTTATGCTGTTTGTGGTTGTGCCCATGCAAGTGTAGTTTTAGCGTGTTCTTTATATCATGGGATTCATAGAGTTTGGTATCAGTATTATGGTACGGGCTTAGAGCCTGTTGTTTACTTAAATGTGTACAGTCTAGTCTTTTGTGTGTTTTCACTTGGACTTGCTGTAGGAGTAGTAATAGCAGTCGGCATGTTACTTTTTTTCCAGGTAATTTCTAGTATTTTGATCTCCAGTGAGTTTGTCAGGAGTTTTTAATTGTTGTTTTGGTTTCCAACAGGTCCGAAGCATAGTTAGAAATATTACAGGTATTGAAGAATGGATTATAGAAAAAGCAGAACATAGGCAAAGAGATGATGCATTTATATTTCCCTACAATCTTGGGTTTTGGAAAAATGTTAAACAAGTAATAAATTTCTCAGGAGATCCTGTTGGTGATGGTATAACATGGGAAGTTCTTGATTCGTGTGATCAATACACTTTAACTGTAGGTATTGTAGCTTTGGACTTGCAGAAATTATGGTAACAAGATTTGAATGATATATGTATAATACTTGTACAATTGTAGAAGGAACAACTATGCCAGAAGCAAGAGAAACGTCAAAGAACACGAATTTATAAAATTGTAAAAGCCTCTACAGGTTACTGGTTTCCTTTATTTTCTCAAGGGTTGTGGGTTTGTTTGAGGCCCCCTTGCACTGATGAGCCACGAGTTGCATTGCAAGTTAATGATACAGTACAAGTTACAAGGTGGAAAAAGTAAGTCAATAGTCTGTTCTACTGAAATAATACTTTTTATAGTGTCATAAAATGTTTATTAATATATTAAAATATGAAAATTATTAAATATATATCTTATAAACATAAGGGACCATATAAAACTTAGTTGAGCTTAAAATGTTCATAGCGATAAATTAAATTTGCTTTCCAGATATTGGTTATTTGGTGAAAAAATAAATAATAATGAACCCAAAACACGAATACGTGGTTGGTTCCCAAGACAATGCGCTGTTGAAGTGATAGAAATAAAAAAGGATGAATAATATTATAAGATGGAGCAATATAAAGATATATAACTATATGAACTGATTTCCAAATGTGTATCAATTAGTTTTAAGTTATAAATCTATTTTATTTTATAAGACATTATTATATATATGTTTTTTAAAGAATAATATTGATTATTAAAGTGAAAGTTGATTTTTTCAATATTCCTCCCCATCATCGGCTTCACCATCAACAGAGTCAATGCCTACCTCCTCATAATCTTTTTCCAAAGCTGCCAAATCTTCACGAGCTTCACTAAATTCTCCTTCTTCCATACCTTCACCCACATACCAGTGGACAAAAGCACGTTTTGCATACATCAAGTCGAATTTGTGATCCAATCTAGAGGAAAAACAACAATTTATTTGAGTAAATAATACAAACATGATAAAAATGCTATTAATAAACTATTTACCTTGCCCAGGCTTCAGCAATAGCTGTTGTGTTGGACAACATACAGACAGCTCTTTGAACTTTAGCTAGATCACCACCAGGAACGACTGTTGGTGGCTGGTAATTGATACCCACTTTGAAACCAGTAGGGCACCAATCCACAAATTGAATACTGCGTTTGGTTTTAATAGTGGCAATTGCGGCGTTTACGTCTTTGGGTACAACATCACCTCTAAAAAAATTAAATAAAAACAAAATTTCAACACTATCTCTAATAATTCTACATTTTTATGGTTCCAATTATTATTCTTATTATTCGTTTTCCTACCTGTACAACATGCAGCATGCCATATATTTTCCATGACGTGGATCACATTTCACCATCTGGTTGGCAGGTTCAAAGCAGGAATTAGTGATGTCTGCGACAGTAAGTTGTTCATGATAAGCTTTTTCTGATGATATTACAGGGGCATAAGTAGCCAGAGGGAAGTGAATTCTAGGATAAGGCACCAAATTCGTTTGGAATTCGGTCAGATCCACATTCAAAGCTCCATCGAAACGTAGAGATGCAGTAATTGAAGATACAATCTTTAAAAAAAATGCTTATTTAGTAATTATTAGTTAATTATTAAAATTGTTAGAATGATTAGTTTTACTGACTTGTCCAATAAGTCTGTTCAAGTTGGTGTATGTTGGTCTTTCAATATCCAAATTGCGTCTGCAAATATCGTAAATAGCTTCATTGTCTACCATAAAGGCACAATCGGAATGTTCAAGAGTTGTGTGGGTGGTCAAGATTGAATTGTAGGGCTCCACAACAGCCGTGGAAACCTTAAAAATAAATACATAATTTTATAATGATTGCACTCTTTATGTGTTGTTTTAATTGATTGAACTGTTAAAGCTGTTGCTGAATATTATATATTATCTCTGTACCTGAGGTGCTGGATAAATAGAAAATTCCAATTTTGATTTCTTTCCATAATCGACAGAAAGACGTTCCATCAACAGTGATGTAAATCCGGATCCGGTGCCTCCACCGAAAGAATGGAATACCAGGAATCCCTGTAATAAATAGTTAATATAATTAAGAAAAAGAGTTTAAGAAGATATCTCTATTTTTTCCTCTGATCTAGATTTCCTGACCTGCAATCCAGTGCATTGATCCGCCAACTTTCTTAATCTATCCAATACAATATCAACAATTTCTTTTCCGATGGTGTAATGACCACGGGCATAGTTGTTGGCAGCATCTTCTTTGCCAGTTATCAACTGCTCAGGATGGAACAACTGCCTGTAGGTGCCCGTACGGACTTCATCTGCAATTAGATCATTAATTTTAATAAAAATACAATAATAAATCATGGTGAAAAATTGCATAATACCTTTAAATAGGCGTATGTGGCATTTCGCTTTAAAGCAAGTTGCAAGGACGTCGCGACATGTGTGAATGAACTTAATCTTCACATTTGTGAAGATGAAACTTGGAGCAGGTTAATTTGAAGATAAATAAAAATTTAACTTTAAAGTTAATGAAAATCTAAGAGGTAAAAATTATGCTTATACTATTTTCAATTTTGGCGTCCAACAAAATAAAATAATAAGTCAAATTTATTCTTATTCTATTTCCAATTTTTGATTTTGACTTGTAACGTCGGGAAAACATAAAATTAGCAAATAAGATTTTGTGGAAAGAAAATGAACTCACCTTTCCGAAATAAAACGATATGGTTTAATAATTTAATATTTATTTTTATATTTTATAAGCGTACTTCAGTTACAGTATTTCTTGTTGCAATTTTATTTTAAATATTTGGATTTCGTTATTAACGGTATAAACGCTAAAATTTGGGCCATCAACAAATTTTTCAGCTGCATGTAGATAAATTCCTTTTTTCTTTTCCATTTTGGAACAATGGCACGTTAGGTCCAAGTAACACAGTTTAAGCATCAATCAGAAACCGGGTCAGTCTTTTTTTAGCCTATGGCAGCAAATCTCGAGATATTTGGCAGCATTTGGACCAAAATTTCTTCATCCTCCCATTCTCCTTCAGATTCTTCTGTAGAATCAATTTCACTAGTGGGAATGCTATGTTCCCAACAATCATCACTGGATTCGCTCACGACTCCTGTATCTGATTGTGGAGATTCCCAATCAGAATGGAGACAGATGAATGGAAAGTTCTTCAACTCGCAACAATTGACTACAGGATTGTCTTTCATAGACAGCATCCTGAGATGGTAAAGATACTTCATATCGTTGGCGTCTATAGTATCAATTAAATTGTTTTTCATGAAGACATATTGTAAGGAAAACATTTTCGTAAGGTCCTTTGGGAAGCTTGTCAGACGATTATTGCTGAGGTTCAAATGAATGAGTTTGTGCAGGTTTGAAAAATTTGGCGGTAATTCTTCTATAATATTGTTTTCTAAAGTCAACCACCTCAAATTTGATAATTCAACAATACTTGCAGGCAATTCTTTAATCTGGTTGTTTCTAGCTCCAAAAGTGTCAAGATATTTCAAGTATCCTATCTCCTCTGGAAGTTCTGTAAGTTGAGTCGAATTGCACCACAGAACTTCAAGGCGGCTGATGAGGCATATTTCTGGTGGCAGTTGTTTCAAGGGATTGGAGCTCACATTTAAATTTACCAGGTTTTTTAACTGGCAAATCTCTGGCGGCAACACTGGTATGTTGTTAAAATCCAAAGACAACGTGTGCAAATTGTACAACAAAAACAATTCAACGGGCAATTGTCCTAGTTTGTTGTTGTGTAAGAAAAACCGCAATAAATCATGGTTGAAAGTGAATACTAAAATCAGGTATCTCTGCTAAATCATAGTTCGATAAATTCAACGTAAAACTTCGCTTTAGTTTTACATTTTCTATCATTGCCAGCATGCGATTTTCTCGTATGAAATTTAAAAAGGAATTCATTGTGTGGAATTTTGATGTAAGTTATACGCTTTTGTTTGTTTCTTCGAATTTTGTTCGCTACTGACCTTCATGCAATGTCTAGAATTAAAATAGGCATCAGCGTCATTAGAGGAATTAGATAATGGGAATAGATGCCGGCACTTGTTAATAAATATACTTTATTATATATTCAAATATAATATTCCTTCTCAAAGAAAATACTATAGCGAAAAAATTTTATTTTTTATGGGTTCACGTCAGGAAATGCGCCTACTAATACCGCGCAGATTTTGTGTTTTTTTAAATATCTGACAGGTAGATCAAAACATTATAGAACTAATAAATTTCTATCAAGAAGATTAATGAACTGATTTTTACTAGAACACATCTTAATATAATAAATAAATTAAATACACATGCTCATCTACTTACCGACGACAGTTGGTTCCAAATCGACAAAAACAGCTCTCGGTACGTGTTTTCCAGATCCAGTTTCGCTGAAGAAAGTGTTGAAGGAATCATCACCACATCCAATAGTCTTATCAGAAGGCATTTGTCCATCAGGTTGAATGCCATGTTCCAGGCAATAAAGCTCCCAGCAAGCGTTTCCGATCTGGACTCCGGCTTGGCCGATGTGGACTGAGATACATTCACGCTGGAGAAGAAAATTTAATATAAATAAAGGTTTAGTCGAGGAAATACACTTGCAAGAATAATAGGAGAGTCCTTATTAACAAATCCTTGGTAAACATGCTTACAAAACATTTTCTACCACACGTTCAATTATCAAGGAGCAACCAACTTTCGTTTTAATCACTGGCAGGCACGCAATCCTTCGTGACCTGATGAAATTGTTTGCTCAAAGATGGTAAAGATTCAAATATTATTTACATACTATTTTTTTGCAAAAAATTAAATAAAAACTAGAAAAGTTGACAATGATTTCAAAATCAAAACTTGGTGCTACTTCACAAAATCTATTTAGTTCTTGATTTTTAATATATATTTTTACAATAATTTAAAATAAGCTTTATTATTATAAACTAATAATAAATTATAAATTCTTAAATTTATTTATTTAGAGCAGTGATTCTTAAATGGGTCAATATCGACCTCTAGGGGTCCATGACAAAAAAAATCAGGGTCTATGAAACTATGTTGGGAGTCTGATTTAATATTGATACAACTTTCCCATTAAAAGCATTTTCTTTTTGCTCATTTATATTAATAAAAAAAGATAAGTTTTATTATAGCTTATAATTTAAAAGACCCTCTTTAAAATTTCCTTGTACAACATTGCTTGCACTTAACTCATTCAGTCAGTATTTTAAAAGTGATTAAATTATGGAGGATCATGATTTTGCACGCTATTTCAAGTAGATTTACAGCAAGTTAATTATGTAATTACTTAAATATGTAATCAGGTTAATTGCTCAGAATACACCGCAAATTATAAATGATTTTTATTAACATTTTAATTCTAAAAAAGTTCTAATAAAAGGTCTAAGACAAAATTTAAATTGCTATATCTTGCTTTAAATTGCATATCAGATCATTGCATATTAGAGTTATAAAATATATAAAGTGAATATTTTCTAGCTACATATATGACTAATTCTAAAGCTTCATTTTACAATTAGTCATCCAAAAAGAATTTATGTTCATATATATCGTGCAAGTTCGCCAAAACAAAGAATTCATAAGCAAAATATAAATATGTAATTGTAACAAATAAGGCTTGTTTGTGTCGTGAATGAAGAAACGAATTGCAGTTCTGGGAAAAAGATTGTTGCAGAATGTCAACTATAAATATCCATCGAATTTGATAATGAGAAACAACATCAGTAATGAGTTGATGAAGTTGATGAATCAGCTTTTGATGTTACAATAAGAAATTGACAATGGTATGAATTCTAAATGTTATGAAATTTTAAGAATGTCATCGAATTTTGTTCGATCACACGGTATTTTGAATTAAACAGCAAAATTCATCAATGTTATTATTTTACAGTAGATTGTAGTAGCTGATTGTTTGCTTAAAGTTTTGTTTTATAATTTAGTTTCCCAGGAAGTTGATAATTACCATCGTGTAATCTACACAACCGTCGATTCGTCTATTTTGCACGAAACTGCAACGATTAGCTCTAAATATGATTAGATTTGTGAGTGGATTGATTGTAATTTTACGTAAAATCTTGGGAAAAAATATAGATAAGTCTTCATACTAAAGGTTCTGCACGAATATACACTGCATATTTATGTGAAATTAGAAGATATTCAAGTTATACTAAAAAATTTTAGAGAATATCAATCGACTTAAAACAAATTGTTTTGACGTCCATATAATTGGCAAATAATTTAAAATTTACTTTCGTATCAGATCAAGTCAACTATAATTTATTCATTCTGTTTGAAATGTTCTAGTTCAAATATCATAAGATCAACAATCATTTATCTGGTTTTTACAAACGGAAACAGGAAGGCTTAATGATCGTTCACATCGATAGACTTTTTACTACACTTTGTCACAACATGTTGATATCAAATAAATCATTTTACTAGTAAACGTTGCCCTGGAAGAATGAATAAAAAAACATCTATTTTTATCCTATGGGAATCTCGCATGTCTCTAATCTAACTTTACATATGTTTTTTATTTTGCCATACGGAGGCAGCTTTTAAAATGTCATTAACCAAGACTTTTATGGATAGAATTTATCTATTTATAATGGTTGATAAATATAATCGTGAATTGCAAAAGTTGAAAGTCGAGGTAAATCGGCGATGTCGCTATTGACTTGAAAAATAGATAGATTAAATGGAGAAAAATTTTATTATATATATATTATATATATATATATAATATATATATATATTATATATATTATATATATATATATATAATATATATAATATATTACAGATTCATTCCCAACATGTGTACAATTTAAATTTCCTCTTAACGAAGAATAATGACTTGCTTTCTGCCTCATTTTATGACTAGATACGATTAGATTAGTCATAAATTTGTGGTAAAAACAGTCAAGAAATTTAACTCTAAATTAGTTACAAAAATAGTACAGATGAAATAACGATAATCAGTAGAGAAAAATAGTTCTTTAACCGCAGACTCACTCGAGAACAAAAAATGATTCATCAGGAATGAAATTATGGAAGATTGCAGTCGAGCGTTTAGATTGCATTTTGATAGAAGTAATAACTGTACTTGAAAATAAATACAAAGCTTAATTTGTAAATGAACGGGAAAACTTAAAACTAAATTAATCGTTTATTTAAAACCACTATCAATTTATATTTTAATAGAATAAAAGTACATGTTGTAAAATGATCCTATTTATGTAAATATAAGCATTTGTATGAAAACTTCATATTTTGCCTTATGCTTGTTGACTGTAGGATTTTTTCTTAATTTTATTTTATTTATAATCATTTATTTTCCTCTTCGGCCCTGTCTTATGTTTTATTAATGTAATCAACAAAAATAAAAATTATGACCCGTGGATATCATGCTCTCTAACCGCACGCATTAAGAGTCGGTTTAGTAATTGCTCATTCTTTGAAACCGATACAATGGAAGTTTATGATTATATCGTATTAGGCTGCTTTTTTATCGTTTAACTCTAATTTAATTTTATGCTTAGTGCAATTATCATTAGACGAAGGCAATTACAAATTTATGGCACGTTATAGAGATGCTTTCGTTCCAAATGAAGACATTTGTAAAGAACGAGAGAAATGAGAAAGTTATGGGATAATGGAACTATTCTAACAAAAAATGTACAAATGTAAAGAAGCTTCAAAATTTTTTGATAACTTGGAAATCTTACATATAAAAATAAATCGCAAAATGTGTTGGTAAGCGCATAACTCAACAACGGCTGGACCAATTTGGCCAATTCTTTTTCTAAAATTTTCCTTGCAGTTCAAGAATGGTTCTTACGACGAGAAAAAATCGAATAATTGCCGGAAAACCCCTAAAAACAGCCCTTATCTTTTTCACATACAAACGTTTTCTAACTAAAACGTAGAATCAATTTGAGCTTTATTGCTATTATATAAAGTTCATATTAAATTAGTTATGAATTTAGAATATGTATAATAAATTTATGATTAGAAAGAAAAATGAAATGTCTACATTATTATTGCCAAACAGCAGATGAGATGTGCCAGAAATTATAATAATATAAGATACAGTAAAGGTATGGCAGATTGAATGATGCACATATGAACGAGCTATGACAAATTAATTCACTTTAAAAATGAAATGCGAAAAATACGAGCGCACGCCTTAGGGGGCGCCAACACAAGATTCGTATATTAAATTTTTCAATATAGTTTTTTTTTTATATATAATTTCTTTGCATCTTTTATTTATCTTTCCACTATTTTTTGAAAATATTGATGTTTTTTTCTCAAAGCAATAGAAATGCAAACAGAACCCATACAAATGTAAACAAAATTTGTACTAATTATTAAAATCTCTATAAAATACATTATAACTTGTTGTACATATGTCTCATGATCATTTTTGAACACAAAATGGCATTTGTTTATTTTTTTATTGGATCTCCAAAAAATGTAACATACCTACTTTAAAAACCCTTTTAGAAAACCATAATTTCTAAAAAATATACAGAGGCCAAAAAACATTCTGATAAAACATTACGAATCACAAGTTACTCTATCCCGAAACTTATGCCCCCAATATCTTGGCCGTAAGTCCAATTAGATCAAAAACTTGTACGTATATCAAATTTATTTATTTCCTCCTCGTCCTCGATTTTTTCCACATCCGAGTAATTTCGTACCAAATGCGGTTACCGCTAAGAGATTTTCGAACTTCTCTTCGGAGATGTCAATGGCCGTAATTATCGTTCTGGAAGAGCTGACACAAACCGCGCAAGAGGCGGAAGAAGTCCGACGAACAGAGTTTATATTTATATTCAACCCGAGGAAGAAAATGATGATACACATGCAGTTGCTAAGTATTTACATTTGTTTTATGTTTTGTGCCAGACTAAATATAATTCATTGGTCGCTAACCTCGTGATGAGGGTTTTCTTATAAGGCTAACTTGGTGACGGTTTAACTAGATAATTTATTGATTGTCGTTTGTGATAAATCGTTTTTAAAGAAGAAGATACTGAAGCGTTTTATATTGTCAAGGATTTTGTGTTTGCTGCATTATGTGTGAGAGCTATAAAATTTATTAAAAGCTAACTCAAAATTATAAAATTTATATAATATTTTTGATATCACTATGCAATAGCCTTACCCTAATAAATCGTTAACTTTCACAATTCACACAAATGATAATAATTATTTCTACCGACTTATCCGTTTTTTAATGAGTTAGAGAATTATGTAAAAAACTGCTGCTAAAAAATGTCCCACCCTTTCACAATTCACCAAATGACAATAATTATTTCTACCGACTTATCTGTTTTTTAATGATTTAAAGAACTATGCAAAAAACCGCTTTAATTTTTTTTCAATTTTCTAATTTCAATCTATTTTGTCTTCATTAGTCAAATGTCCCACCCTTTCACAATTCACACAAATGACAATAATTATTTCTACCGACTCATCCGTTTTTCAATGATTTAAAGAATTATGTAAAAAACTGCTTTAATATTTTTCCAATTTCTAATTTCAACCTATTTTGCCTTCATCAATCAAATGTCCCACTCTTTCACAATTCACACAAATGACAATAATTATTTCTACCGATTTATCCGTTTTTCAATGATTTAAAGAATTATGTAAAAAACTGCTTTAATATTTTTCCAATTTTCTAATACCAATCTATTTTGCCTTCATCAGTCAAATGTCCCACCCTTTCACAATTCACACAAATGACAATAATTATTTCTACTGACTTATTCGTTTTTTAATGATTTAAAGAATTATGTAAAAAACTGCTTTAATATTTTTTCAATTTTCTAATTTCAATCTATTTTGCCTTCATCAGTCAAATGTCCCACCCTTTCACAATGCACACAAATGACAATAATTATTTCTACCGACTTATCCGTTTCCTCGTGACCTAGAGGATTCTTCATAAAACTGCTTTAATTTTTTTCAATTTTTGAATTTTAATATTTTTACCTTCGTCAGTCAAATGTCCCACCCTTAGGCGGTACGGGAGACTTGGCTCCAACCTGAAACGACGCGTAGATCCAGGTTGGTGTGCGATAGAGGGTACCGATTAGGTACAGGACAGGAAACGTTTGAATATATGAGGAAATAATATGTTGTACAGAAAATTTGAAGATTGAAGAATATAATTTGAGTTTTTTAAAGCATTTGGATAGATTTTGGCGTATAGATTTCAAAACTGCAGACAGATTTAAAACTTGCGAAGTATGTAGGTAGTAAAAGATTTTATTATAGATTAATTAGGTTTAAGTTTTATATGACATTGTTGGTCTCTAGCATCAAAATAAGCGTTTTTTAATAAAGCAAACAACCAAATAATTCGGTAATAAATAGTTTTATTAATATGTAAAGTTAGCTATAGTAACCCTCACACAAAATACCGATATTTATTTAAAAAAACAAACAATTCTTCAGAAATTTCAATAGAGATCTATAACGATTTGTATACCGTTTCGTTTACATTTTTATTCTATAATTGGCATAGAGCAAGGATCATATAAGTGCATCTTTATCATGAAAATAAATTTTCAAAGAATACAATTACATGTGCTAAATTAATTGAATTTCAATGATTGCCACTTCAGAATGAAAACCAATTGAATACTTTGTAATCGATTCGTTGTACTGAACGTGTAATTGGAAATAATTACTCTTATCCTGTAATAACTGTAAAATGTATTTTTGACGAATATAACTGGTATACACACACACACACACATATATATATATATATATATATAAAAGATAATAATATTTAAAATTTCCTATTAATCAAAATCATTTTATGTCGACCATTCAAGATAATTAGATAAATGTTCATTTAATATGATTTTAAGAAAATAATATAAAAAAGAATTTTTTTTGTCATGTCACAATTTGCTTGAAATTATTATATATAAGTAATCAAATGAATTTTCTTCATTTATGAAAAAAAATCTTTTTAATAAACCAGATTTAAAAGTCTTGTACCAAGATAGACAATTGTAAACAAAATTGCCCAACGATCGATTTTGGAAATATGTACATATTTCGCCCGATTAATTATGTAACTTTTTTAATTGTAGATTAAAATATCAATACAAGAAGAAATCTTTGTCTTATCATTGAACGAATCGACCCACTTTTTCCTTTTAACACATTTCTATGAACTCAAACCTGCAACTTGCAAATTAGTTCCGCAATGCAATTATCGCAATGAAACAAAAATAATTAGGTATGAAATAGATATGTATTTCACATGTCACATATTTACAATATAACATTTTTGACAAAAATGTGAACTGGTAATAAAAAATTAGTATTAACATATTTTAAAATATAATTGTTCAATTTTTTACTGTATTAAAATAAGCCAAGTGAACAGACAAAATAAAAAAAAAAAAATTAAAAACAAATTTAAAAAAAAATAAAAATAAATAAAATAAAATAAAAAAAATTAAAAAAAATATTAGAAAATATTTTCTTGGTTAAAATTTCAATTATTACTCACCATTTTTATTTAGGTTTTCAAATTTCCTTGATCAACTGTTTCGCGCTAATAGCAATATTTCTAGATTTGCTAAATCCCGTCGATTTTCAACTGAATTTATTTATTTATATTTTGAAAATAAAAAATTCGTAACACTAGAAAACAAATTACTCTCGGCTAGAGTCCGCTATGAGACAGCACAGAGCGTATATTGCCTCGATCTTGCATTTGATTCGGGCTTATATAAACTTCTCCAGGCCGCCGGGGAAGGGATGAAAATATAGATACATAGGAAAGGAATCAAAATTTGGTAAAGAATTCAAATTTGGAAATTCTCAAATTTCTAAGTTTTAATTCTCATAGTCTTGATCAACTAGTGATAAAACCTATCAGCCACAGTCATTTTTTTCAAATATATTGAATTGATTTATTTTTTCTCCAACACCGAATTTTTTCGCCATAAATGTAATTAACAATCGTAGTATATTAAAATATACCAAGAGCCCTTTCTCAAACTTGAACCAAAGATTTTTAAATAATCCTGTATCCGTTATAAAATTTGGCTTATCAAACATCAACAAAATCAACAAAAAGTACAGAAACTAGTCATTTGTAGTGGAACAAATGATAATTTTACATTATGGTGAATAAACTCAAATCAAACTGCATAAATATTTTCTTTTAAATTAGAACAAAAATAACAAGTTCATATCTTTTTTTCTAAAATATCTGGCTTAACTCGTTTTCCTTTTATGGGATAGATAGGATTTGGTCAATATAATATATTATAGTTTATTTTTCTATCTTCCCGTAGCAATGACATCATATAATCAGTCGTGTGCAGCGTGGCGTGTGATTCGAAAATTATATCAAGATGATCTTAAGTCATGTATGTAATGAATTCCATTGTTTTGTAAACGGCTGTAATAATAATACATATATTTTACCTCAAACAAGAGACAAGAGTAAAGGAAGAACTTCAGTTTTCTACTATTGATTTCGCTTGAACCAGTTAGGTTTTTATATTTCTTAGTTACTCTACCAATCGACAATAATCTGGGAGTATTTTTTAATCTATCATCCTGTTCATCCCTGGAATCAATTTATATATTCTGCCAAGTATTGCCAAACAATTTGCTGATATTCCATAAGGAATAAAATCAAACATGGTGCAGATATTGTGAAAAAATTCTAATTAGATCATTAAAAATATTATATTTGGATTTGTAAAATCTAGAAGAAAACACTTAATAAAAAATGAATGATGGTACATTCTACATTAGAAATCGTGTTATCATTTCTGAGTTTTCCAATTAGTACTTCCAAAATTGCTTCAATTATGAGTGGTCCTAGTAATGTTTTTAATTTCTTCTAATTTTGTCTTTGATATTTGTTTTATTTCTTTACATGAGCAAATATATTCAAAAGTGAGGTGTGGTGCGTAATTGAAACGCAACAAAAGGGCGCAGCTTTGGAATTACGACTAGTGAGGCGACAGGGATATTATTTCATATTTTATATTATAATATATATATATATATATATATATATATATATATATATAAACAAATGTATTCTGAGTGGATGGATAGATATTAATTTAGAAATATTCCTTCTGATTCCTTTTTGATATTTCGTGACTCATCTATTTGACCTTGATAGAGAATTCAGTTCAGTATAATAAACGACTTGTAACGGATAATGCTAATATAGGTTTCCATATTTTAGATTTTAAATTATAACACACTGATGATGAGACAAACCTAGTCTCGAAACGCTTGTGAAATTATTATTTAATAAATTAGTGCAAAAAGAGTGTTGTTTGTTCATATTTCTAAATTAATATATATATACATATATATATATATATATATATATATAATATATATATACCGGGTATTCCAGAAATCAATGCAAACCAAAAAAAAAATTGACAGTATTGACTGTAACCATCACGAAACAAAATAGAAAAAAATTGTTTCATGCAGTTCAAAAATTATGAGCTTTGAAGACCTTAAGACCTTAAAAGCTCATAATTTTTATAACTGCATGTGATAATTTTTCTTTGAATTTAAGTAAAATTTTGGTCAAACTATAACTATTTTTTGGTTATTTGTGGATAATTTTTATCATTTATGTTAATTTAAACTACGGAACCGTGACTGTAAATAACATTTCTAGGACCACAGCCAAAACTAGTGACCCAAGTTTTGGGACTATTTGTTAAATTATGAATTTAGAATTTTCAACAAAAAATTAGTAATACAATAGTTCCTTCATCTATTTCGAAAAAAAGCTTTGTAACTTTTTATGCATCACTAATTCACAGTCAAAGCTGGGTCGTTCCTATTTTTTTTATTTCGCATGAGTTGCTTAAGTTGCTTCGCCGTATTGTATTGTTTCCGATGTCGTCCTAAATCAGACTTAAAAACATGCCTATTATATTCCTGAAGAGGTAATAAGTTATTAAAATGATTACATATACTATTTATGTATCCTACAATGGTAATGCTAAATCTTAATAACCGAGGTCTATCTAAAAGTGAATGAGAATAAAAGATAGGAAATCCTGGTCAAGAAACAAATGTTGAAGTTTTTCCAATAAATTATTAAAATCAATAAATTTTAGTAATAATTTCTACATTGGTATGTGGAATTTGCTTCGCCGTATTGTATTGTTTCCGATGTCGTCCTAAATCAGACTTAAAAACATGCCTATTATATTCCTGAAGAGGTAATAAGTTATTAAAATGATTACATATACTATTTATGTATCCTACAATGGTAATGCTAAATCTTAATAACCGAGGTCTATCTAAAAGTGAATGAGAATAAAAGATAGGAAATCCTGGTCAAGAAACAAATGTTGAAGTTTTTCCAATAAATTATTAAAATCAATAAATTTTAGTAATAATTTCTACATTGGTATGTGGAATTAGTACTTGTATGTGATAAGAGCACAAATAAACTATAATGATACTAACGTAGCCGATGATGTTCAGTTATAATCACATTACATGTAAATAGAAAGGAATCTGGTGTACAGATTATTTAAAATTAAATTTAGAAATAATATAAAATTAAATAAATTCATATATATAAATACTATATAAATTGAGTAAATATATAAAGCAGTGATCGTCATTATCCCTGATATTTTTTCGAATTAAAATCATGTTTATACTATTTTAAAAATTAATTTTTAAAAATAAGCAGCCCCTGAATCCGAGTTCGATATTGATTGATTATTTTTAATTTTACGAATAAACTTTTGAGATTTTTTTTTGAATTCAACAACAAATCGTAACATTAATAGATTATTAATATTATTAATTTAAAGTTGATATAAAAAATTACTTATTATGATACAATACAAACGATTAAAGATCAGATTTCTCTAAAAAAATCTGATTTCTAAGGAAAAATATGTTGTTACATTTAAAATGTACACCAGATATTGTATTATTAAAATAATTTTCTTGTAAAATTATTCTCTGCCTTCGACGTGCCAAAGAAAATTAAATAAGAAAATACATTTGATCGACTAACAACTTTCCGCCCAGGTAACTATATGAATGTGTTAGATTTTACGGAAAGAGGGCTACAAAAGTTATCATAGAACACTTAAATATTTAAATAATAGATTAAATGATGGTTTTTTCTAAAAAAATATCATGCCAATGCTCATAGCATAAGGAAAACACTTTTAAAAGCAAAAAATTATATTTCACTCAATTGCAGAAAGTTTTTGGTTGTCCCTATTTACTGCCTTTTGTATGTTGAAATAATTATTGAATGAAGTTCCTAACACAACCATTCAGTGATTTTTATTACCATATAAATTACAATGTGTCTTCGGAGACATTCAGTCAATAAATTATAATTTTAAAAAATAACAGGTTTTCTTACCAGTCTACAAGTCCTAACCCTTGATTTATGTCAAGAAAGTAATTTTATAGTTTGTGAAAAATATTTATTATTATTATTATTTCAAGGGGCCCCGATTCGACCCTGTTTTCCAGGTAATTTTTCTACTTTAGCACAGTCGAGACATTCACCTTGAAGCTTATATAGTGGATGGAATAATCGAACTGCAGTGTGAATGACCGTACGAATATATAATGCACTTATGCAATAAATATTTATAAATTTATCGTATTTTATTGATAATGAAAAAATCAATACATGATACCTATAATTAGATAATTACAGGTAAAAAATTATAATTGGTACGCGGTGGATTCAAATATTTTCAAAGAAATTGATGAATTTTAGAAGTAGGTTGCCGAGAAAGTCAATCAAAAGATCAGAAATTAGTGAAATTTTTAAATACACTGTATCCAATTTCTACCTAAAAATTGAAAAGACAATCCCACGTTTATTTCAGAAAACAACAGATGTTTCATTACGTCTATAATGGGTAATCAATTAATTCGATTAATCGAACGATAAAACTTTACAATTGATGGTTATACTCTTTTATGTGGGCTGCAACTATCTATTGTTTGAAATTAATGTTTATTATTTACTTTTTTTTAGTTTTTACAACATCTACTCGTATGATACGTAGATGGAATTATTCCCGATTGAATGTTTTATAAATAATAGAAATTATGGCTATGGGAACGGGAATTAATGTTTATAATATGAAATAAATGTTGAAAGTCAAATTTTTCAAGACGATTTGATGTAAAGTGAAGTGAAGTTTTAAAAATTCTAGTTTTATAAATATTTGGATTGTATGATGCATACTGCAAGCTAATGCTTTGACATTTTGTTCTATTTTTTATATAAATAAATCAGTTAAATTTTAATAAATGTAATAAACTGATGTACGTAAGTTAAATATTAATTATAAACTAAGAACATAAGAATAATTTGAATATTTAGCTCGGTATGATTTATTTTACAATAGTTCTTATATACCTGCAGAGTATTACTGTATCTCATAGATACAATTGTGCAATAATAATGTGCCTAGTATGAGTTTAGGCAAAAATAAAATCTTCATAGTATTATTATTTACCCCAAGGTAAATATTCACAAACCTATTTATATATTAAATATAAAATAAAATAAAAATAGCTACAAAATAATGGACTTACCGAAATGCAATTTACGCTAACAATTGGGTGAAATACAATCACTACAGGTGAAGAACTGAAAGTGTTAATGAAAGTGTTAAGGTTATTGGATATTCAGGTAAATTTGTGATAAAACTCATATATCGATACATCAAGTAAAGATATCAATATTTCAAAAAGGACAGAATGACAACTTATCTATATTTTGAATAATATCTAGGCTTTGGAACCCAATATTGTCAAATTTTAGACCAAAACACAAGAAAACATTTAAAATCAAATGCTGATTATTAAAGACAAAGTATAAGTCTGAAATAATACTTATTACTTCTAACGATTTAATTATGAATGGAAAAACAAATGATTTTTTGCAGCTAAAAAGTTGGTCTTCGAAGTTGAAATGGATATAAAATATTCTGACATTACTCTTAGCGAATATAAATATAATTTATAAATTTTATATATCCTGTGAATCAAATTGTTTCATAAATTTAAATACCCCTGATATGAAATCTGTTATTTACGTCTTATAAAATGATATTATATTTTTATACAATTTAACAACTTTTATAATTTTGAATAAATTCGGTTTTAGAACTAGATACTCCCTTTAATTCTGCAAGCTGTAATTTATATCAGTTAAAGTTATTTAAATAAACAGTTTTACATCAAAATTTTTAAAAATGACCGAAAAAACTAGTTACTAAATTAGTTATTTATAAAGTTATTATTATGTTAATACATCCCTGCAATTATAATTATTTAATAAAAAATTATTTTATTCTTATTAATTTATTGTTATATATTTTTTTCGTGTAACACAATAAAAGCATTATTTAGAATTAAATTTTAAATTAGTCGTTTATATAAATATTTACATATTATGACATTTTTTATATTTAGTTTCAACTAAAGTTTAGTGTCTAAAAATCATGCATCAGCAATATCAGTCATCCCATACAAATAATTATATTAGAGAACATAAAGTTTTTGTATTCTTAATACTTATAATAAGTTTTTATATCTTAATCAATAAAGATTATTTTGTTATGAATACGTTCATTTGGCCGAAGCCAAGATCTCTGCAAAAATAGACGAAATAAATATGATTCTTAAGTAAAAAATAATTAGTTAACTATTAATGAGGATTTAAAAATTATTAATGAGTTGTAGAATGATCTGGTAAAGTGGCATTTATATAATTTTTATAACATTATAATTACTTTAATATCATTCTTAAACATCGTTAATTTTATGTATATTTTATCGGAAATTCTAACAATTTTTTGTAGAGGAATTAATTTATTATTTAAACTATTTTTTCATTTAAAAAAAAGGTTTAGAATATCGATACTGATACTCAATATTATTTAATATTTAATAAGTTGGATATTAAAAAGTCGCTTTTAAGATTTTTTTCAATATGCAATATTAACTATATTGCAAAAGCGATATTAAAATTGATTATCCTGCCATTAAAATATTTTATAACAAATTAACATAAAAATAGATAAAATAAAGCAACCAGCTTTATAAAAAAGAATTCGTTTAAAATATAAACAAATGTTAACCATTCGTTTTTAAGGATTTTTTTCTTAATGAGCTCTGTTGGAATATCTGTACTAAAATTGATAATTCTGCTATATTCTATGTTGTTTGTTTGTTAACAAATAAAATGAAATATAGCATTGGTATAAATTATTCCATAAACATCAAAAAATATTGAGATATTCATGGTTTAAGAAAAAATAACGCAAATCTGTTAATTTTGAATAAAGTATACATAAAATTGCAGATGTATAGTTCGACATAAGCAATTTATATAAAATCTGTAACTTATTCTCTGTAACAACATTATATATATATATATATATATATATACATATATATATATATATAATTTATAATTTAAATTTTGGCACTCGCCTCTTAAATCCCATCAAATCCTTCCAAAACTTACTTTCTCTCTTGTTTGCAAAAAATACAAAAATATCCTTTATCCAAATAGTTTATCAAAGCAATTATGGCAGTATGGTTTATCGTTTTGTTCTTTGAATGTTCCTTTATTCAATTGTTTCAAACAGAAAGCGCAAACGAAGTGTTCTGGATGAAATTTCCTGAACATCGCCGTGATGCATCTGCCGGCGATCGGCTTGTGGCAACCTGCACACAAGGAGCCTCTTTTGGCATGGTAATGGGTCTCGCAGTAGGGCAGACCCTCATGGTCAAAGAAGGACCCGTGGTGGAAAGGTTGTCTGCAATCCTGGGAAAAAGAAAAGAATCGAATTAGGACATATGAATCGTGGATACATCTAATTTACAGTAAGTAACAGAGCAAGGGATCAATTTTGTTAAAATAAATAAAATATTAGAGGTATTGTTTGCCCTGGTAGACGTTACAACCATATTTTGAGATTGTAAGATCTGTGAGAGCCAAATGCATTTGTTTTTTTAAATATCTGCACCTAATCCATATGAAACATTAGCAAATTTTTGGTAGTACTTAGAATGTCTGAATCAAATACAAATCCAGTAATTGGTAAGCCAATCCAATGCTAGGGAAAGCGAAAGACAAATAATGTATGAAAAACTGCAGAAGAGAGTATCGTTTTCCCATTAATTTTACGTATTTTGATAATAATAGTAATAAAAAATTGTAGTCTGCCCAAAGGCAGGTCCATGGTGTGAGAGCCACCACATCAAATGATTTCCTTGCCCTTCATCCCATTACCACTATTCTCTATCCCCATTTTTTTATTTCATGTATTTTCTTTTCCGTATTTTGATGTCCAGCAATATTATTTAAATGTACAAAATTATACTATTTTATTAATAAATGTCGATTAGCGTTGGAATGAATAAATAAATAAACGAATATTTTTATAAAACACAAATTAAATACTGGTTTACTAGTACCAACGATAATTTTTGGTATAATTATTTATAACAAAATAATATATTGCATTTATAGTTGCGATTTGAGTGAATAAATTATAAAAAGAGAATTTCCAGAAAAAACGAGAAATATAGTTTTAGTTGTTAAATAAAACTTAACATCATTTTTTATTTATTAAACGCCCTAAGATAAAATTTTACGATTTAAACAATTACTACTGGATTCCTAAACTAATACTATTAGAAATTTCTTTTACAATTAATCACGAATTCAAAGAAATTACTTCTAGATCCATAATAAAACATTATTAGAATGACTATATTTTTCTTATAAATGTAATTGTATTATAACCTATATATCGACAGCCGATTAGCATATTTATGCATGATTAAATAAATAAATAATTTTCTTATAAAAATTTAATAATTATTGGAATGATTATAATTTAGGATTTTAGCCAAACACGTCAAAAATATTTATTTTATTTTATTTATTTATTTAACGCCCGTGGCAATGTTAGAACAACTACTTGTTTAAATTTGAAAAAAGCAACGCAATTTAAATAATTTTCCAAGTAAAATAAAAAGTGTGTACAATATACTCGTACGTGTCGGTAGTAATAAATTAATTATTAAAATCAGAATATCAAAAAATGAGATTATATTTTTGATTATTTATTTAGCAACCTTTTAATTAGACACTAGAATTTATATATTATATAAAATAAATATGCAAAGGTATGTTCAAAAACATACCAGTGCCAAAGACAAATTATTAAAAGTTTTTTGAAAACAAAAAACAAACTCACAATATCAAAGAACACACATTTGGATGTACTCAACTTCTATTAAAGATATTAATAAACTAAATAGCTGATTATAAAATTTAATCTGAATAGCTAATTTTAATGCTAATGGAAAGATTACGTTAATATAAATAATTAGGTGATATGATCAATCAAGTCAAAGTCAAAGCAATTTATCCGTACTATTTACGATTGCTAAAAGTAAACGCCTTGAGTATATTTTTATAAACAGATTATAGGGCAGGACCTTGAATTTAATTTTTGCCAAAATATAAAAAAAACTCGTCATGGGCCAATATTATGCACATATCCTGATCAAGGACAAATGACGTATCCTGGTCGTATCAGGAAAAACGTACAAATGCATGTACTACATACACTTGCAATTCAAACGTGTGTGTTTTTTGTATTTGTGTTGTTTTGTTTCTGTTTATATCTTTTTTGTTTTTTTTTTTAAATTTTTATTTACATTTATTTCATAATATATACATTTATATATAAAGTCTAGTGTCTAATTAGTAAGTTGCTTAATAAATAATAAAAAATATAAATATTATCTCATTTTTTGATATTCTAAACGTCGTCTGCAAAATATTTTTGCGTGTGAATTTTATATGATCAGTACAGTGAAAAGTGTTTGAAGACAGTGTTGTGTTTTCCTTAAATTGCATTTTTCCAAATGCAAAGAAGAACCTGTAAAAAAAATGGGCAAGGGGGCATTGCAGCATCGGTTTCCTTATAAGGAAACCTGAACTGCCATCATCATTGTTCATGTCATTTAAAGGCATTTTTAAGAGGACATCTGGAGATTCATTTTTTTGGTAAAAGGGGCATAATCATAAGTCTTATTTATTTATTCGTCTTCTTCCTCAACGCCCACGCATTTTGGGCATACTGGTTTACCTTCCATGGCATAAAAAGATTTACCGGATACTGGCTTCTTGCAATCCTAAATTTAAACATGACATTGCGATTGATACATCAACATATATAATCGTTTAAAACATAACTTTCGTATTTGGTATAATTTTATTCGACTTACCCTGCAGACAAAGCAGTCAGGATGCCACTGGCTGTTCAAGGCAGATATATAATTTTCCATGATTGGACGGTTGCATCCTCCACATTTGGGAGCAAACATATCGAAATAGTCATTGCGACAATAAGGTTTACCATCTTTTTCGTGGAAACCTTCTTCACCAAATTGTTGACCACATTGGGCGCAGAAGAAGTGCTCTGTGTGCCAAGTTTTTTCTAAGGCTGTTACGCATTTCTGGAAGAAGATAATGAACAATGATTAAGGGGGATAATATAATCTTGTTGGGAAAATTCTAAAGTTTGGTGAATAGTTTTTATATTTACATCCAAAATAGCTCCATTACAATACGCGCATCTTGGGCTGAACAAATTATGGTAATCAGGTTCGCAGTATGGATGACCATCTCTTTCGAAGAAGTTTCTTGTTCCCAATTCTTGGTTGCAATGGTTGCAAACGAAATGTTCAGGATGCCATGTTTTGCCAAGGGCAGTTATGACTTGCCCAACAATGGCTTTGTCACAAGCACCACAGCTTCCTTTCTGAGCAGTATTAACACCTTGTCTGGACATGTCTGCTTGTAAGTTTCCTAACATAGAATCTAATTGATCTTTGTGGGTGATCGTTTGCACTGATTTGCTCGATTCTGTCACCGTTTGGTGCTGGTGAGAGCTCGAGGTAATCTGGAAAAAATAAATAAAATGCATGTAATAAAATATTTAACATTTTTTATTAAAAATTATTGCTTCATTATCCATTATATCTGATAGTGCATGTGCGATGGTTTACACATGGCGTTCGGTTTTGACATTTCAACCGCTTGAAACGCCGCCAAGTTTTTCTCGAATTTCCAATTAAGTAATGATGACTTTATATGTAAACCAATGCACTTAAAAATTGAAATACGATATATAACATATATTCGGCCTATGACGCAATGTTCGGAAATAAGTTACAGAAAATCAAGCAGAGCCAGCGTCAACAAATCGCGCGAGGTCGCATGTTGTGAAACGATGTTATAACCGAAATAAACCAATGTTTATTTTGTAAATTTAGTGACTAAATAAAACTCCAAAGGTAGTAGATCGATGTCACTGTTGCGAATATCCAAACAAAATAACCGTGATTGAAAAATATTAAAAAGACAATGTATTAATCCCCAACACTTTGTTTTAACCGTACTGTTTATGTCCCACAAGGATCCTTCCTTCAGGTGGTACTTGGTAATCCTGCTGCAGCAAACTAAAGACTGAAGCTTGACGTTTTCCGCGATTTAACATGTAAACTAAAGCACGAGAGAATTAGGATGTCCAAAGGAAGAAGGGGAATCAGTTTAGTATATGAAGTAGCGCCAAGAAAGGCCACACGCGGACGCGCAGGTTCGCGCCGTGTGCAAATTCAGAGAACAGGGTTTCGAAGGCGAACAAATTCAATTTGATGAATTCGTTTCCAACGAATCTAAAAGCTTTAAATTTTTCAAACAAAAAGATATTTTTCTTATATGTCCTTTAATCCTTGCTAGAAAAAACATCGCATACCCAGCACTTTTCATGCGCCCAATGTGGTCAACAATTTGGTGAAGAAGGTTTTTCACGAAAAATATGGTAAATATTATTATCGCAATGATTATTTCGACGTGCCTGATCCCATTTGTGGAGGATGCAAGAATGATTTTTCAAATAAAATATCATAAACAAGTAATAAGAAATACATACGCATCATATATTAGATGAATATGATTTCATTGTAAAGATATCTTCAAAATTCATGCAATACTATTTTAAGAAATAACGTTGTTCAAAATATTGATAAAAATTTCTTAATTAAATTGAATAAATATTTGCCAAAATTTTGAAGAAATTATAACCCAATTAGTGCAAGTATATCAATTAAAAAGTAATACTTTTATGATTATGTTTGTTTATCTATTTATATTCTTTATTAATAACAAGTAAATAAAATAAAGTATAAAATGAGAAAAATTATAAGAAAAAAGCATTCAAAATCCAACATGGGAAAAGTACTTCTATTATTCGCAGTTGTTTGTGTTTGCGGCGCCGTTGGTTTAATTGCACCAGGTAAATTGAAATAATTTAGATTCACAGGATGATTTTTGATATTATAATTTTATTTTTAGCGAATTCAGATAGTGTGACCACAACCGATGGAAAAAAATATGTTGTGGCTGCAGAATTGAAGGTAAAACTTGTCAAAATCCAAGTGAAATCAACGCACGTAACAAAAATAATACCATTGGTTTCAGATGACCTGGTTTGAAGCTGAAAATTTCTGCAAAGAACATCTTCAAGGAACACTAGCTGCCATAGAAAATGATGCAGAATACAAAACTCTCAGCACATTTCTTATTACAAGTAAGTATATGGAAATACCATGAAAACTGTCATCATGGTCTATAATGAGCCTCCTATGCAGAATATCCGCACCTGGAACATTTGTGGCTAGCAGGTAACAACTTGGCAAGTTCCACTGGTAAATTTATGTGGTATTTTTCCAATCCTAAAGAGATGACGTATGAAAAATGGATTATCGGTGAACCTAACAACCAGAATGGAAACGAAAACTGTGTGGAAACCATATACAGAGGACAAGATCACAGATGGAATGATGCTCCTTGCAATACGGTAATAAATTTCATTTGTGAAGTCAAAGTAATGGAAACTACAACACTAGAGCCACCAACTACTACATAAGCTCCAACAACAACAGATACGCCAACAACGACAGAACCATCAATATGTAAACTATATGTATGTATATTAATGTTATTTATATGATAATTATTAATACAAAATTATTTTTAATTTACTTGATTGTTTTTGGTTTTACGTAGTGCTTTTACCAAATTTCAACCGGATTTTTCTAAGACCAAGGTTGCAAACGATAAAACACCGATGCGAATTTTTTTATTACGCCACAAAAATATTCTGAAATATATTTCGATAAAATTAAACATAATGGAAGGAGCGTTTTAATTGGTTTTTCCTCTTCTGTGAGAGGAGCCAAGAGTGTGGGACTGCCGAGCAAACATTAATAATACAGTCAATTGGGAATGATCCAAAACCTAAAAGATCCGATATCGTGTGCAATATGCAATGACAATGTTATCATTAATAAAGGATTGGTAAAACTCAGGAGAAAACTACATTACATATAATGACATGACAATATAATCTACCTGGATAGGCAATATTTGGCTTGCACGTAAATTGTTTGATCATCCACGCAAATTACAGAAAACCGCCCTGGTTGAGTTGAACTCGAAGAAGAAGTTTTTCCGATGTCATTTCAAACAACGGTGCCTGAATGTAATACTTCAGTTTTTTATTTATTTTTATCAATCGGCAAAAGTGAATAATTCACTGGAAAATTTCTTTTCTATTCATAAAGAATTAAAATTTTAGAATTGTTTGTTGACAAATCACACTTTAACCGAGTAATAATAAAAATATTAATATTTTCTGAAATAGCACCATTCAAAATCTTGATAAAAACGTAATTAGATTAAACAAATATTTGCTCAAATATTAGTATCAGCTTCAAAATAAAAAGTAATACTTTTATGACCTAATGACGTGCTTTCATTCACCTAGACATACTTTGAACTATATGTGTACAAAATGAGATGAATATCTTGGAAATTCAGTATAAAAGAATTGTGAAACAGGTAAACTCTCATTATCAGTTCAACATGAGGAAACTAGTTTTATTATTTGCAGCTATTTGTGTTTGCTGCGCCATTGGTTCAAATGCACCAGGTAAATTGGAATGATCTAATTTTTATACTTCAACTGGAAAGATGATTTTTGTATAATTATTACTTGCAGTGAATTTAGATAGTGTAACCACAACTGATGGGAAGAAATATGTTGTAGCTGCAAATCTGAAGGTAAAAGGCGTTGAAATGTAAATAAAATCAATGCTCTTATCAAAAATAATACCATTGGTTTCAGATGACCTGGTTTGCTGCTGAAAATTTCTGTAAAGATCATATTCAAGGAACATTAGCTGCTATAGAAAATGACGCTGAATACAAAACTCTTAGCACATTTCTTACTACAAGTAAGTATGTAGAAATATGACAAAACTGTGGGCTTCAAGGTATTTAATGAGTTACCTATACAGAATATCCGCAGCTGGAACATTTGTGGCTAGCAGGCAACAACTTAGGAAGTTCCACTGGTAAATTTATGTGGTTCTTTCCCGATTCTAAAGAAATGACATATGAAAAATGGATTGTTGGAGAACCTAACAACAAGAATGGAAACGAGAACTGTGTTGAATCTATATACAGAGGACAAGATCACAGATGGAATGATGCTCCTTGCAATATACTAATTAATTTCGTTTGTGAAGTCAAAGTAATGGCGACTACAACACCGACAGCAACGGATACACCTACAGCAACAGAGACGCCAACAGCAACGGAAACACCTACAGCAACGGAAACACCTACAGCAACGGAGACGCCGACAGCAACGGATACACCAACAGCAACAGAGACGCCAACAGCAACGGAAACACCTACAGCAACGGAAACACCTACAGCAACGGAAACACCTACAGCAGCAGCAACAGCAACACCGACAACGCTGACGGAACCGCCCGTAGAACCGACACCGGGTTTCCCCGGAGGGAATAAACAAATATGAAACAAATACGACAAATAACTATGATATATATATATATATATACATATGATTTTTAGAAAGCAATTTCATTGTGTAAATTCCAATTTAAATGTCAATTAAATATCTTCAATATATTAATTCATACTGATTGTTGTCTAAGAAATATGCCTGAATCCAGATGTTTGATATGTTGTTATGGCTTAATATATTTTGCAAATTTGATTCACGGCCAAGAACATCGCAAATAATCTTCATAAGACGTACAACGACTTTCATTTGGATTATATCACTATTATTTTAAATAGAAATACGTTACAAAACAGCAATTAGGAAAGCAGTCATACAACGTTAATGGCATTTAGTTAGAAAATTAAACAACTACACATTTTAATGATGTTTTATGAGATAGCATGTAATTTTGTGAAAATAGATTTAAGTATTACAGCAGACCAGTTATTGTTTTAAAAATAATTAATTTTATGAAAACATTCAGAAATATAGTTTTAAAAGTAACGCTAAAAGTAACAAATCAACTTGTAATTTAAAATCATAAATGAAAAAATATATGTATGGTTAACAAATTATAATACCTTTTGCAATTTGTAAATTAGGTATCTTTCAGGATAATTTCTTAATAAGTTACAGAATGACTAATTCGACAACTTGTAATTTAAATAAATAAAAAAAAATATTATGAAATAGTATACTGGCATAAAATAATGTAAATCTGTGGAACACACGTGCCTCGTATTACAAATATTCAATTAAATATATTGGTTTTAACGAGTAATACAGGTGTAAATAAATGAATTAATCAATTTATCATTTAGTGTCATGTTATCTGTAATTTGGATTATTTGCATTAATATAAAATTAATCGATATACTTTTATTTAAAATTAATAAAATATTTCTGTAAATAAAATATTTCAGGAAAAGAGGAAGATCTATCTAAATATGTGTACATTTTCTTGTCTGCCAAATGTTAAGTAGAATATAATAAATCAGCAATGCGCCTTTGATAATAATTTATATGCAAAAGTATCTATTTTCTCTTTTTAAACTAATAATAGTACTACTAACACCTGTCTTTACTTGGCAAAAATTGGCGATCAACAATTCAGACGCGTGAAATGCATCCCGATATAATCCAACAAGAGTTTTGCTAATTAACATGATGTGATAATCAATTATTCTAAATGTGTGCCAAGTCTCAATAAATTCGCATGATCTCCTTTTGAAAAGATACCATGGTGCACCTAGACCAAACGTGCTCTCAACCTGAAACTAGTCTAGTTTCAGGTCAGAGTGCAATTTCGCATATTTCGAAAACTACCGTATGCACCAATTTAAAATTTTTGAAACAATCTTAGTAAAGTATAATAACAATGTGTACCAAGTTTCATTAAATTCGCTTGATCCCCTTTTGAGAAGATACCATGGTGCACCTAGGCCGAAAGTGCTCCCAACCTGAAACTAAGCTAGTTTTAGGTCAGGGTGCAATCTCGCATATTTTGAAAACTACCGTATGCACCAATTTAAAATTTTTGTGACAATCTTGGTAAAGTATAATAATAATGTGTGCCAAGTTTCATTAAATTCGCATGATCCCCTTTTGAGAAAATACCATGGTGCACCTAGGCCAAACGTGCTCTCAACCTAAAACTAGGCTAGTTTCAGGTCAGAGTGCAATGTCGCATATTTCGAAAACTACCGTATGCACCAATTTAATTTTTGTCACAATCTTGGTAAAGTATAATAATAATGTGTGCCCAGTTTCATTAAATTCGCATAATCCCCTTTTGAGAAAATAGCACCAAGCACCTAGGCCAAAAGTACTCTCAACCTGAAACTAAGCTAGTTTCAGGTCAGAGTGCAATCTTGTATATCACGAAAACTACCGTATGAACCAATTTAAAAATTTTGTCACAAACTTGGAAGGATGAAGTAAAGCTATTTTAATTATTAAAAAATTCTCTATTTTTTTATTCTGCAATGTCAAAGACGTTACTATATACTTTATGTAACAGTTATAAAAGTATTCACAGGACGTATTTATTATTATGTTCCTGAGAATTTTGATAGAACACGAGTAGGTAGAATTATTGACTGGTATTTTTAAAACCAATGCCAGACTGTGCTAAGTGGCTATTTTTCTTGCAACAAGTAAAGCATATTAAATTTCAAATAAGATACTTTTGACTAGATCTTAAATGTTTAACATCAATCAATATGAATATCGGATGATCAAGGTCAAGTGGATCCACAAATTGGGTCATCAAAAAAATGTGTGATGTGTATTTTCATGGATAGGTCAGGGAGGATGGATAAATACCTGGCTTAGTAAGAAAATTCCTAAACCAGAAACTAATTTAGATACAACGAAGGAAGTGTGGCAGATTTTGGCATAATGGTCTGAAGATTTTGTACGTTTATAGCCAATTTTTATTTTTACAATTTTACGTGTAGTCCTTTTAGGATGAGTGTAATAATCATTGTATAATGAAAAAAATGTCGCTAACCATTTACATGTGTCTTACAATGCTTATGATGATGAAACTTCTTACTATTTGGTGGACCTTCATCATCGCGAAATTACAACATCTAATTTCAGAAATCGATAAATCGCCACGAGTCCATTAAGCGCCAAAATAATCAAAATGTTGGATATTTAAACTTAGCACAATATCCTCTGTATACAAAGACTTCTAATATAACACAGTCGGTCTATTTTTAATGTAAACACTATCTAAAAATATTCATGCGACATATTAGACCGGCATACGTAATTTAGCGATTTTTTTCGGATCGCTTAATAAAAACGGTAAAAATAGATCTAAATCTTCTATTAAAATTGATTTCCTTCTAGATTGCTAATTACTAGTGATTATCGCATCTGTCTCCAGATTTCCATTAATAAATTTCCATCGATAAATTTATATGGGTTGTTTTAGTGCTTGAAAGACATAGATCAAGTCAAGAAAATATTTTAATATTTAGTTAAGAAGTTATCAATTTTAGTTTTTACTATTACAGTGAACTTGTCTAAGGATAATCTATATGAATCTTATTATATATAATTAATTATAATATATATATATATATATATATATATATATATTATATTTAATAACCTATAATGTATTTCAGCAACATAAGCAAATCATGATGAATTATCATGATAATTCATAATATCATTATAATTATCTTCTTATATTATTTAATACGTAATCTTACAAAATCTATTTATCAATTCTTGCCAAAAAAGGCGGAGCTTTTTAGGAAATGACGACGAATATTTGTGTTGTTTTAATGGTTTATCAAATATATTACATTAAGTTTAGAAGGACATATATAATGTATTGCCACTTTGAAAACAGTCAACAGAAAATTTATTAAGCATGCTACGTATTTTATGCCAGAAATATATTTGAAATATTAAATACACATTGCACACAATGTCGTATTATTATGCAAATTTTAAAAATCCAGGTTTTTGTGAATGTAAAAAATATTCTATACAGTCTAAAAATCTGAAATACCAATAACAAAATAGACTTTTTGTTCGATTTTGAAAAATAAAGTTAAGAAAATTATGTGGAAATAGCTGTGTATATGTATGCAAAAATATACTTTGGACTATATTAAGATTTTTTTTCGAATTTCAGAAATAATTAAAAAAAATCCTCATTAATATTAAGAATTAGCAACACCAAGAATGTCATAAAAATTAGAATGTTTGAAACAATAAAAAATGTAAAATAAGATTTGTTAAAAAAATATATGAATATAGTGGTTCGATAATTTGCTAACTATTTCTAAATTCAGTCTTGATTTTTATAAGATCAATTTTGTAAAAATATAAAAAATGATACTAATAAACTATTAGAATTTAAATTATTTTTATGAACGTAAGGGACAAAGAAATTCTAAATAACGTGCAATGTGAAATAGCAAATCTTCTACGAAATAAAAATAAAAATCTTGCAATCTAGTGTAGTATTTCGCATATAAAGAATTGAAATCTAAGCTAACTATTTAGCCTGGTTCTCAACAACCATGTGAACATATTTTTCGCGACATTTGCGAACAGATAACGCTGCTATTAAACAAACCCACGTGAAATAAACTAGCTAAGACTTTCCTTTTTATTTCCTGATTTAATTATCTAAAACAAAGCTTAAACGAACTACACTTTCCCATCAATATCCCTGTCTAAATTTCAAAGAAATCAAACAACTAAAGATATGAAAATCTATAATTGTTCTATATACACATACACTTTCTATCCAGCGATGAAAGACAAAATGATAAAATATTTTCATGTTACAGAAAATGAAATCCACCAACCTTGAAGTCCGATAAAGACGCCATCAGGTCATCCAGTTCTCTTGTTGCTGAAGAAGCAGCAGGTGCTGCTCCAATTTTTCGGACCATGTGCGTTGTCATGCGTTCAGAATGGAAAGGTAATCCATCAGAATTTGGTGGTCGATTTGTTTCGGAGAATAACACTCCTTGGAAGACATCCTAAAAAATAAAGACAATTTGAGGACACTTTTCTAGAATAATGTGTAAATTCTAGAACATAATTGTTTTATTTGTGATCATAATTTACTACAAACCTCATTTGGTGCAGGTCTTTGCCCCTGGTTTTGTTGATTAGTAGCTGCATACATTGGTTCGATAGTTTTCGTTTCTCGTACAGTTGTCGTTACTTGTTTGCCAGGACGTGGAGAATCACTAAAATTAATAATATTTATTTATTACCACAATATTGTCCAACTATCATTAGAACAAGCTATTCACTTTATTCCTTCTTTTATTATAATTATATAATTATTCTTTTTATGACAATATTATTCATTATACTATTATACTTATTGATAATTACCCATTAGCGTAGTAATTCATAGTAGAATTTGCAATTGGTGCTGCAGAATTCAGTTCTTGAAGTAAACTGTCTACTGATGGTCTATCTAATGACCCACGTGGACCTAGAGTACCATTTGGTGAAGTATAAATTGGACTAGCTGTTCCATTCATAGCTGAAAAATAGAATACATAATTAATTACATAGCACTTAAAAATGATAACAAAATAAAGATGTTATTGGTTGCTAAATTCATCGAGATTCATCGATCCTTTACTTACATCGATCTTTATCATATATAGATGCATAATGAGCATTGCTCAAATCCTGCAGCAATGAATCCAACTCCGACAAATTATGGCTTGACGAAGGTGTCTTCCTTGGTTCCGGCACAGAAGGAGTCCTGGATCTCATTTGAACTGGAGACTTCACCTGAGAGTTTCTATCTCCGTCCATTGCAGGAGTATCATAATGAACTGTGCGAATTATGGTTCCACTCGGAGAAGTTGTGGTTCCGTAACTGTTACCGGTGCCATCATAGGCGTTACCAGTGTGGTGGCCTCCAGGTCCACCGTGGTGGCCGCTGGTTCCTGATCCACCATGATGGTTGATGGAACCTCTAAAATTTCCAGCATTTAAGTTGGTGCTTCCGCCGGTATAACTGAAGGCAGCACTTCCACTTCCACTTCCTTGGCGACTGTGGCTCTGGTAGGAACTCAGCGGCTGTAAAAAATAATTAAATAAATAATTAGGCAATTATTAGTAATAATTTTTGATATTAACAATAATTGATTGTAAAAATTAAAGTGCTTGAAAACTTGACCTAAAATTCTGAATTTATTAGTTACAAGTATGATTCGATCCAATATTGTTAAAAGCTTATTTGTAAACAGTATTTAGTTTATTTGTATAAATAATGCTTGTAAACTTTATTTGAATAAATTGGTATAAATTGGTGATGTAGAAATGTCAGAAATCTCAGACTGTAGAAGTTTTAATTTACTAAAATAGCCACAGTTGAGATTAATTAGGCCATCAGGCAGGTCAGTGTTTTAATTGAGCGAGATATTTTAATTTCAGCGCAGAAATAAAGTAAATGAAAAAGCAAATTAGATTAAAGAAATTCATAAAATTGATACAAATAAGCCTTAAACAGTATGTAAATATTTCTCAAGCAATAAATTTCAAGTTTATATGAAACAAATTGTCTTTAAATGTTTGCCCAATAATTATAAAAAGTCCCTAGAACAAATTTTGTAATGCATTACAAAATATTTAAATTTAGACTTTTAATTAAAATATTGGATAACTAGTGCATGAAACAACTCGGTGACTCAGTTGATGTAAATATCAACATAAGAGTACAAACGTGTTATACTCGTATATTTGATGCACATGTAGAAAATCTATAAATATGTGAACTTGCACTAAAATTTGTTCCGTGGCAAATTTCCAAGCACGATACGATATACTAAACAAATACCAATTCGGAAAACAAAATCAAAAATATTGAATACAATGATTTAAAAAATATAGGTGTATATATAACAGCTTTAACCACAATTGCTTGGATAGAAAAAACAGTAATAATACATAGTACATAATAGTAATAAATACATATTTCGTTCTAAAATTTAAGGTAAATTTCATAGGTAAAGACTTTAGTTACTTCCAAAAATGTTTAATTTTTTAAGGTACAGAATTTTCTAATAGCACTGTCACTTGTCTAAATATTTTCATTTTAAATAAGCGCTATGCCAGAGTATATTATATCAAAGAATTTTACTATCAAGTAAAATCACGTCACTATCCAACTTCTACCTTTCTATCAACTTTTTTCATAACAATCCGTATCCGGAACGTCTCCGGAGTTCTCGTTCCGGGATTTTGAATTACACCACTTGTCACAGACATTTTAGTTGAATTTTTATGAAATTCACTTTGGTTTTAGGTCGTTTTAAACTAACGTTGGCAAACTAAACATCGTGACTAGAAACGACAGCTTCGCAAACTCATAGTATTCTGATTTAAATTACCCGCCAACCGAACGCCGGTACATAGAATTCATGAGAGAGTGCGTACAGTGAGATTGGACGCGGAAATTATTTGAAATTTAAATAAATTAGAGTTTAATATTGAATAAAAATTTTAATAATACACTTATACACTATATAATTAATTATCTAATTCTAAAAATAATCTTTGGTCCAATTTTAATCTATTTTAAGAAGCAAATGTAGGTTCTTTCACAACCATGATAAACTCTATTGGTAAGGGATGATTTATAAATTATCAATTTTATAACAATAATAGTTATCAATAATTATTTGTAAATTTTCTATTTCTTAATTTATTACCAATTTTTATAAACACAAAATTTTGAATTGTGCTCTAATGAGTTGATATATTTATTCAACTTCTTTCTGATTTTAAAATGCATAATATTTTTTTATACAATGGCACTTTAAATATCAACAAGATTTTTCATCTATGATTTTGTTGAATTTCAGAAGAGCAATTGTACGTAAAATCTGTTTCATTTTACCCCGTTCTCCCGCAAAAGTTTCCAGCAAATGCTAATTAGTCTATCCCGACCATAATATTGCTTATTAATTTTATTAGTACTAAAATCTGATCTGACCAACTAGACGTGTTAAATTTAGGTCATGGCAGCGTCGGAACATCTGCCAATTTTAAAGAATCGTCTCTGCATATCAGAATACAAATATTTCAAAAATTTATAGAAATAGAAAATCTATGATACTACTCGCCAGTGCCGGAGTAATACAAACTTGCTAAAAATAGAAACAAAAAATATCAAAATTCAACAGAGAACTTCGAAGATTTACCGCTGAAGTTGATAATTTTACCCAAACATTACCCAATACCGCCTAAATCTATATTATTCAAGATTGCCCAAATCTTTCATCAAGTTTTGTATTCAGAATATACCACTGCCCGAAGCCACCCACGATTTGTGGCATTTGTCCAAACATGAAAAATAGAACGATCATGTGACGGAATCAAATTATACGTCTAGTAAATACGTAGGATTTGTGCCAGAGTTTAGAATTTAGATGATGAGATTGATGTTACTGTGCTGCCGACTTGAGAAAACCGAGGAAAACTATCGGGAAATGGTTCAGAACTTAGTTCGAGAGACTGAGGAGAAGGACTATGGCTAAAAGTAAGCTGGTGCAAAAATAAGTTTGACCAAGGAAATTTTAATATTTGCAATAGTAGTATTTAATTAATATTATTATATACTAGTCATTTACATAGTTTTATGTCTTACCTGTACTGTATGAGGGCTAGTTATAACTCTGGGTGCGTTAAGAGAACCATATCCGCAGGTGGCTTGCCCGGAACCGGAAACGTTACCATGTCCGGCACCACCAACGTTACGATGTCCGGAACCGGAAATGTTACCATGTCCGGAACCACCAACGTTACCATGACCGGAACCGGAAATGTTACCATGACCGGAACTGGAAAAGTTACCGTGTCCGGAACCCGAATGTGAAATTCCACCATGACCGCCTGCTTGTCCTTTATTTATAGACCCCGGCACTGTGTTTTGTAAATCAGCTAATAGAGCATCTGAAAAAGAAATATATAATTAAAAATATTTATTAAAAAAAAAATTAGGTGCATTAGAAATTTACCAAATGTGTTATATTCATCAAATTCAGCATGGGTCGATTTTGTGTTATATTCTTCAAAGTAATTTTCAATTTTTACGTTATCAATTTTCGGCATTTTTAATAGTAAAATTTAAACATACACAACTTTTAAAAAGTTTTGTTCATAACTGGAAGCACTTTGATTGTTAGACACAATATACAAACAAACTTACAGATGTAAAATAAAATCTTTGGAATAATTTTTAATTATCAATAAGCTCTAGATACATGCTTGAAAGAAGATTTATCGTTTTTCTAAATAACATTAGTCACCAGAAAATATTTTTTAAGAATGAAAAGTTATATCCGGACTTTATAACGTGACTCATAAACTATTTTATAAACTTGGGAAGCAAATGATATATTTGAAACGAATACTTGAAACGAATTTCAAAACTTTCAATGGAATAGAAATAACTTTTTTTCTATTTTTGCTCAATAATAAGAATCAAGCTTGTTAGCGATAATGATAATGTTATATAAAAATATTATGTATAGTAATATAATGTTTGTAACAAATTGTCTACTTTTGTGTGAATACTTGTAAATTTTAACTGAATAAAGATCACACGTGATAATTAATTTTAATTTGAGAACTAATTTATCGTTGAAAAGAAAGTTTGGAAGGAAAGTAATTATGCCTTCACTTCAATAATTGCTTTTAAAACTTCTGAAGTTTCCAACAAATTACTTTTAAAGTGCTGCGGAAATTGTTGGCAAATTAAAAATGATTAATAAAAGTGAACGCTGTTGGGAAAATCAGCCAAATAAAATTAATTGATATTATACAGTATTTAATTAATAGAATAAGATATTAGTACACCGATAGATTCGTCTGAGACAATAGGCAAACAAGACCCCTAAAATTTAGGAAAAATTGAAAAATCTGCGGAAAATTATATGCAGACATTTATCAAATTATATATTAATTAATTGATATTATTACTAAGCATCTTTTTCCCAAATGCACTATTTAGGTCTAACCAAACCGAACCGAACTATTTAAGTTCTTAGAAAATTTTTTTGCTAATTTATTAAATTTCTCAGTCTGTGGCTAAATTTCTGCTTGATGGTACTATTTTTCAGGAAACATTAATTTAAATTACTATTATTCTTGTGGCTTATGTTGAATGACATTTTTAAACGTTCATTCATATACAATTCTATGTTTTGTGACGTTATCATCACCATAAAAACCGGTCTGGGATTTCAAGTTTATCTGCAATGAGTGTGATAGACCTCGAGATGTAAAGAAATCTTTAGATTTGCATATTCTAGAGATGAAACAGATCATTGAAAAAGATAATATAGAATTAAAATATTTGAGAAAAGGGAAAAATGAAAACAGAAAATTGCATATTTTTTCATAACAAAGATCTTCTAATAGAATATCTAATCTTCGTAATATTTATTTTATTTAAAATAAAAATACCTCAAGATTCCTCTACAGACTAGTTTTTTATTATCCTATAAAAATATGTATATATTCCTTCGATTCGCCTATTTTATAACCCTGGTAAATGATATAGATAACTCAGAAGCTCTTCAACAATTCTTTGAAATAGTTGCAATAAAGTAAGCCAATAAATGACATCAAAGTAGGAAAAACGAGTATCAAATCAAATAAATATCAAATAAAAAACAGAAATAGTGACTGAAAATAGTTGACCTTCGAATATCGAATATGTTTTATATGATCTTGTCATGCGTTAGGAATTTATGTATTGCGATTGTCTTGATGGTACTGGAGGAATAATTTTCTAGGGCTTACAAATTGGGGAAAAAAATTAAAAAAAATTATAGAAAAAATTTTTTACTCTTACTCAACTTTTTTCCAATTAAGGAAAGAATAATAGTGGTAACTTATACTCATTATCACTTCTTTACTAAATTTTATAGATGTCCACTAATTAGGAAATCAATTTTTTCTGAATAAAAGCATTTTCAGAACTCGCTAATCAAACAAATGCTGTATTTATAACAAAAGGTTTTGTACTAAAATAAATAATAAGGATTGATAATGAGGAATATTATATATTATATTGTATACTCAGTCGAACAACCATATTAAAAATAAAATAATAGGCAAAATTTCTAAATTTTGATAAGGAAAATTATATAAATTTTATTCGATGTCTGATTTTTATAAATTTTATAAAAACAGCAACTATCTTACAAAACAAAAAAATTCAAAATCAAATATTGCAATCATTCAATGTGGTAATAATAATGATTACTCTATACTTTATCATATCTAAATACTTATATTTACTGATTGTGAATGACTGTAGTTATCAATATTATTTCTTGAATCAATAAATCAATGACCATAAGATAATACATCGAAAAATGAGATAAAAACCAGACTTTATATAAGAGATGTCTTAGGTATTCATTTTTTTTATTCAAATTCCCAGCAACCACTGGTTCGTTACCCTTTTTGATCAGCTTGATATCAAGCAGTAATGATATCAGACATTTATCTGATAACAATGACCTTTAATGGATAATTAAGTCAAATATACTAAATAGGTATGTTAAAAATTCCTAATAAAAATCCCAACTACAGGGTTGTCTTCTAATAGCCACCTATTAAATTAATTTTATATTAATTTAATTTATAGAGGGCGTCCATTAATCACGTGAGGTGTTTAGAGGGAGGGGGGTTTAAAAAAATCACAAAATATCCCGTGAGGAAGGGAGGGGTATAGTAAGATATCACGTATATTTATTTTTAACTGATTTTTTAAAAAAAATTGAAACATGTTCAAATAAAAATCAGAAATTTTACAGTTTTATCACGTAACTAAAAATACACGTGATGTTTTGTTGTGAAGGGGGGGTAATTTTGAATATCACCATGAATCACCAAGGGAGAGGGGAAAATTTTGCATATCACCATGTATCACCAAGGGGGGGGGGTCCAAAAATCCTTGAAAACTCGCTCACGTGATTATTGGACGCCCCCTAATAGTTAATTTCTTTGAAATTGAAATTGGATTTTGCAGTAGTAGAAGAGTATTATTTTAGGAGAACAAATTGCCACCAATATTTAAATTAGACACTTGTAATTAAATTAACAATGTAATTAAATCACAGCAATGGTGAATAAATTGTTAAAAAATTAATTTGTTTAGCACACTTTCACAAAAATATAACAAATTATAAATAATTACTATTTATTTTATTTTATTAGACACCTTATTTTCACAAACTTTTAGTACTTTTTTTATAAATTTATTCACTTTTTTACTACTAACTCCGTTCTCCACAAAGCCTCGTTATCAACTATTCTTATTTGCACAATTGAAGATTCACATACAACGCATACTGCCTATCTGAGACGACATAAAGATAAAACGCGTATTAAAATTAAAATTATGATTCACAGTATACTCGGGTTTGACCACAAACTGGATTTAAAATAATTTATTATGAAAGAAATTTATTTTCCTCTCAATAACTATCGTCAAATGAGGTCATATCCGAACGAACGTTCATATGGAACTGCGTTACCGCGAATTTTTTGCGCTGGCGGAATGCATTGTATACACAACTGGACGAATTCTGGGTAATCTCACGAATTGAGTGAACTTGAGAAGTCGGATTGTTTATTTGTGATGCTGATTTATAATACAGGGCCGATTCAGGGGATAAATTGTAAAAGACCTATACAGCACAATATCAAGGCAAAATATCCTATCCTGTGCAAATGATTGCTTGCATTTTTAAATCAAGGCAACATAACTATCCCCTTCATCCAGGCAGGAGGGCCTCCACCAGTAAATCAACCACCACCTCAATATTCTGAATATTATTATTATTAATTATATTAAATTGAATAGAAAGTCATACTTCAGTTTTAATCAATCATATAATTTTTTTTTCATTTAAATTTTTTTTTAATACATATTAATTTATTTATTTTTAAGTTTAATAAAAACTAGCAAACTGGGTTCGCTTCACCACCAGATAGTTTCATTTTATGTAACATTTGGTTTGGTGATTAAAAGATGAAGAAAAAATTGCCTGCTGTTGAAATTGAATAAAAATTTGCACAATACAAGTGAATGATTTGATGGTTTCCAATTGAAATGTTAGGAAACGAATAACATATTTTTTTACTTTTTTGCACAATTTCACAGTGAACACAATGCCGGTTTGTCACATGAAATTAACTGAGCAAAAAACAAGGAGTAGCTGTCAAACTAATGAGTATCAGTCAAACAAAAAATATTAGTTTGTAGTACATGCTAAGTATCAGAGATGATGCGAATGATTTTCCGCTTTTCTGTTGAATCTTTCAATTTTCTTTGCTATAAACCTCACGGAGTCCGAGACCTTTCCAACGAATGCAAAATCGTCGAAATCGGTTCGTGCGTTCTAGAGTTATATCGTCAGGAAGGAAAACCCGACTTATTTTTATATAATAGATTTTTTTTTTTTTTTTTTTTTTATATTTGACTTCGTTATATAACATTTGGTCATATACAAACATAATGAATATACATTAAGAATAAATACATAACATCTTATTACTAAATTAAAATTATATAACTAATTTAGATTTTACAATAAATTCATATAATATTTTATAATTTCTTTCATTTCTTATTATGCAAATCCATGCAATTGGTTTTATTATACTTTTGTCGTCATAATATTTGTCCAGCATTTTTTCTCGTTGTTTTATATACCTGCTACATTTCATAATAATATGTTCTATATTTCCGTCTTCTTCTCCACATTCACAGATAGCTGAAGACCTAATACCAATTTTATATAAGTGACTTGGAAAATTGCCATGGTTTAATCTGATTCTACTTAACGTAGTTACAAATTTTCTATCTTCATTTTTAAGACTTTTAAACCAAGTTTTTTTTCTAATTTTATTCTCTATAGTCTTATATGTTTTTC